GTACTTTGCAGTATATGCTTAGATTTAAAAAAGTTGTTTTGGCCTTTACCAACAGGATGAAATTTGATGATTGGCTCCAAAGTGTCCCGATATCTCAAATGCATTTGGTGCCAAAATTACCTGTCATGATATGCTAAATAACCTTCAACCTTCAAGTGATACCGCAGGTAATAGAGCAAGTGACCTAATGTATCCCAGCGTGAGGGTGAAACATTTCACGGTTAATCGCTTCAAGCATATTTTGGTCAATTAAATAGCTTACCAATACGATTAGTACCTACCTCACAGCTTTGGTACTCGTAGGTAAATCTGCTATCCACTGTTCCTCCCCTCTCAAAATGTGCTGGCAGCAGTGTTCTTATTTCTGAAAAGGATGTTTGGGTTGAATGGCTGTTTCAATTTCTTAACAAACTGCGCACCTATAGAGAGATAAAATTAGTAAATAAACTAATGCTAGAAAAATACTCATAATATATGTGCTTTTGGTCTTTTATTCAAGCCTTTCAATCTTGCAATAAACCGCATGTAAGTTGGTTAATTAGAAGGCGTCTCATGGTGGCGGTGTGTCTGTTTAGCCGTCCTATCAAAGCAGTCAAGGAGGGGCTGCCTAGATTCATTAAATTGTAGGTCACACAACTAGAAAACTTACGTGCCCTGAAGGTCTCGAAAAATTGGAAGGATGTTTTACGAATCCCGAACTCAATTTGTTTTTGCAAATTAGCTAAACGGAGTTATTAAATGCTGTTTCATCCTCGTACAACCCTCGTATTAGCTTAGCTACCTCCACTGTTTATCACGGCACGAACATGCAAAATACCTCGTCTTATGATTTTCCCCTTTCCACGAAAGCGCTGAAGGTTCGGATGGCCTATGACAAAGTCAGCTCCGCTGACAATGCGATGGGATGCTTCCTGGCGTAATCATGCTATGTACCACAGTATGGAGTTGGTGATATCAGCCAAGCATAACGACTTATTTATGCCAACATCACCGAGCTAATGTTTTTGTACAAAATCTATTTTTGATGGAGGCAAGTTCAGGGCATAACTGATAGGAAATGTTAAGCTTCGCTCAAGAGTATTGTGTGGGCGAAATTTCTTTGTGTTTCGAATATTTTTTTTTACAATTTAGATGAGGAAGCAAGATAACTCAAGGAAGCAGTTAGGAGCAAGTCCTTTTCTTTACTCATTTAAATAGCATGGAGGAGCCAAATATATTAGACTCTTAACGGAACTTTGTACACACCTCTTCTAAAATTTCCATTGCTATAATTCATCTGCTTTTTCTCCACTGTTTAACGGTCAAAGTGTAAATAGGTAGTGGAACACAGACGCTAATAAATGAATTATGACAAATCAACTACTGCCATTAACTTGACTACCACCATTGTCATAAAAGTGTGGCATATGCTCTACCTCAGCTTATGATAAATAATTGTGCCACATTGTGTCACTCGCAGATTGGTTGAGTCTAAAACAATAAGACAAACGGAAACTTCCTTGGTCTGAGAATGAATGACTTTATCTCTCTCTCAGTCAGCAATCAAATCGATCAAAACAGCCACGACAGTTGGTGTTATTTTCAAACGATGAATTATTGCTTTCAGTTGATGTCTAGTAAAATAATGTAGGCACAGAGAAGGAGGCCTTATCTTGTCCTTGGTGGTAGTGTGTTGGTTGATGTGCTGTCAGGTAGATTTCGACTTACTGGGTTACCGTGAAGTGAGGTGGTTGGGCTGCCGTACGGCACAGACTTTAGAACTGTCTCGGCTCCCAGCCTGAACCAAAGTGGCGTAGCGCTGTAGACTGGCTGGACTTTGATACCTCTCAAGGATTGTCTCGAGGGTGACATTTGGATCATGTTTTAGACTATTCACCAGACGTACTCACATATCTGCGAATTTGGGTAACCAAAGACTGCAGATGCAAATGAGCGCATGAACTGCGATGGTCGAGTTCCTTCTGGGGCATCCCCTGGTAGCAAAAGTATTTAATCAACCCTAAATTATGAGTTGAGAAACGTTCGCAATTAATTGCAACGTGGGATGCACGAAATCTTCTTATATAAGTAATACTGATAAATTAAACATTTTGCTTTACTTGAGGCATTAGTTGGTTGAACACATCGTCGGACTGTTTAATCCCCTTTCATTTCTCCCGAAAATCCTAATGCTTAAGCTTCTTTACAAATAATGGTTCAAATAAACATAAAGGAAGTTGTAGATAAGCTAGACGACTTAAGACAACAAGGCAAGTCGTGCATGTAAGTGCCCAGGTAATGGTAATAACTACCCTATGAGTAAGAGGGAGTAATTTTTCTCTATTATACAGTACACGGCAAGGAATCGCTATAATTGAGAGAGGCTTAGCACAATGAACCACTTCGGTAATGGCTCTACCCCTAAAGGGCTGAAAATGATCTGATTTTTCACTTTAACAAATGGTATTTCATTAATTTATGGCAGATGTCGAAAATCGTTATGCTTTACATTCTAAAGCGGAAATATGAGAAATTTATTTATACCACAGTATAGATATTCAAGTATAGAAAAGTGATGTTTTAATTCCTTAAATGATTTGATAGTGATATCGCTATGAAGGGTAAGGGATAACCTACGCTGAGAGGTGGATGACAAAATGACTTAGTGAAAAGCTTGGCTTGAAAAAAGTGTTTTCGTGGAGTTTTGTGTTGTCACTACCGAAACTACTTCCTTTTGTACTGCACGGAGTTGGACAATAAATTTAGTCAGTTTTGGCACGAGATATTCACCAGCTACCGAAAGGCAAAATAAAATGAACTGCCGAGTATTGTATAAGGCATTAAGTACTCCTATCTACTACACGTCTCTAGGGCATCGTTAAGATTGAGGCTCCGGGTCAATTGGAGATGGTCAGGTGACGCTTAATTTGCTTCATTTAATTCATTACTAGCAGCCATAATTTCAGAATTACACACCCCATAAAAGAGAGACCATAAGGAAATAACGTTAATTAAAAAGTGGGAACCTTTTTTTAGAATTTCAGTAATTTACAAATTTAAGTATATCATACTTTGAACTTCGCCGAAGGTAATGGCAAAGGTGGCGATGTGCACACCTCAATTGGATTTAGCCACGGGGATGATTTCTTTGCGTCTCCTCTATGCAGACACACTAAGTTTATCTTGCTTCATTAAAAAACTACAATTCAGCATCTTGGGTTAAACCGATTGTTTGACTAGTCAAATTAAAAATGTGAAAAACATGAAAATGCAAATCGCACCATATTTATTTGCATCAAAAAGCTTTCAGAATTGTGTCACTCGTATAATGTTTCAAGGGCATGGGATCCTGTCTGAGCTGCCAAGTGGAGAAGTGAACGGAGGAGAGCGCTACCCGTGATGAGGAGGTGAACTCACTTACAAAACACCCGCGTTGCTTATGGTAGAACAAACAATACAAAGGCACTAGTCGCTTTCGCACATACTTTTTGGGGTTTATAAATTCACCCACTTGTTTGGTGTTTCGAGAAACCTAATGCTAAATAGTTGTATTACGAATAACAGATATATTCGTCATTCTTTAGGACCTACGACAAAAGAATATCCCCGCTAAGCTTTTACGCTAGAGTAGTTGACGCACTCAACTAAGCCAATTGTTTTGGTAAGACCTGCTACAGTATTCAGCATTAACTTTGAGGAATTTATAATAATAAATTTGTTTTTTCGCCTAGTGTATGGTGTTGGATTTGGAAATCATTTGCATAGTTTCCACAAGACGATGCAGCATCACTGTGTCATCGCCCTGATAAGATCCGGCTACAGCGGACAGGAATCAAGCAACGCCAAGTGACCGCACCCCGCCTCCCACATGCCCAACGGTTTGACAAACCGTTTGTTTATCTGCGTGAGTGCATGGCCGAGAATGCCCAAGCATGTGTATGAGTCATGGTCGGTCTCCAGACAATGCTAAGTAGAGATGATGAATAGAAACCAATCAGCGCCTCGAATCGCATGAGTACAGCTCTACCTTATCCTTCAGCCACATGTGGTCATTCGCTAGACTCGAGCGCTCCGATTGTCTGCATTGAGCGAGGAGGCCGCCAACGCACATGCGTATTCCTGCTTCAGCTGTCTATCTTTGCACGATGGGTCCCCGCATGCCTGCATTCTAACAATTACAATCATAGGCGCAAGATTTGTTCTTTTTACTCTCGAACGAACATGTGAAAGAGGGTGGGAGAAATGTCTGATTTGTTTAAAAAAAAATAAATGCAGATCCTGCCATCAATATCTCTGTTATTCACATGAATGCAAAAACGGTTGGACGTGGGACTTGTAGAATGGGGGAATAGAAATTGCTGTTAAGCATAATTTCGATTGACCAGCCCGATGTGCAGATTTACGTGATTTAAATGAACTTTTGGGTGACTCTTCCGCGCTCTGGTAATTAAGCCGTCACGTAACAAGGGCCTAAGTCACACAACTTTTGATGATAGGCACCTTGATGTACGAAGTCTAGGAGTGAGAAGCTTTTGGTTCTTTCCCACTTTCTATGTTAACTAGCTAAAAGTCTTACTAACAACCGCTGTGGTTTGATCATTGTTGAATTTTCAACTTCGCTGATAAGGTTTTGACAAGTCTTGCTAAATAACATTTCGACAATTTTATTGCGTTAAGGTAAATCGTCACCTGATAGTTGCTCTGTGAGGTCTTAGGATCCCCATATTTACTGGAATTCCATAAAGTGATTTTCTCTGTTATTCGCTTTACAAAAGGTAAGAAGAGGACGAAAGAGCTCCAGTACCCTCATAGAACCATCTCAGTGTCTTTAAGCTGGGAAGCATAAGCTCTTCCACTCTCCAATTCAACAAAGCAGACATAAGGGGTGCACGAAGTGCTGTTGATTTATTTCCTAGATGTAACATATTAAGATACAGGGTCACGCACGTGGAAATGCATACGCACAGCAATAACTGACCAATCAAGCGAGAAGTTAAGGGCTACACTTAAATGGCATGCAGTTAGAAGGGGTAATTAGAGATGGAGATGTAGACGTAGAACGAATGCTGAAAGATGAGTTTGGAGTCATCCCTGTATGAGACCTGTTGAAGCTGTCGGCCAACAGGGTAGACGTCAAAGTCTTGGGAATTCGTGGTCGTGTACCAGGGCAAACCCTCGTAGCAAGAGACCCTGAAGAAGAGATAGTACAGGGCAGGAGCGGACTGGTTCAAACTAGCATGTATAACTTTCGACCCGGGGTCCGCAAATGCCGGTGAGGTCCAGTCGGGTATAAGGTAGACGACGCCATTCTTTGATCTGTGACTCACAGGTGTACCGCTGGCCTTATCCAGCAATTGGTAATGGCAGTTGCCTTGCTGCACCTTTTGAGAAATGAAAATACAGAAAAACATTCAATAATACCTAGGAGAATGATAGGTGACTAATTAGTGAATCTTAAGCAAGAAGAAATCCTACTTGAGAACAAATGAGCAGAATAACTTCTGTCGAAAGTATTTAACATTTCTTCAGTCACTACCAAAGTGTGAAAAACAGCTTTTTCAACAAAATTACTTAGTACGCATGAGAAATAAACAGTGTGACTGTGCCACTGTCAATAAACTGTGCGGCATTACTATGCATAAAAGTGCAGTCTATTAGTCTTATTCAGTCCCATTTATGCACCTGGTTTTAATGCTTTATGTCTTCTCAATCGTTCTCATAAATAATTCGCTATGATGGTAAATAAGAGAGCTTTCAAGGAATCCGGGGTTTAGAAAATCCGAAATGCCTTATAACTCAATCACTGATTAGCAGTAGCCGCACTTTCAAGTTCTGAACATTAAACTGTGAAAATTGAAAAGGAACAAGTTTTTTTGCTGTTCAATAATTCAAACTGCACGTTGGGAATCACACTTTATTCGGGTGGTAGAAATGTGAGTGACATTTACCTGATTCCAATCGACCACACGAAGCATAATGTTTCGACCGATGGTGCCATTCGTCCTAGGGATGCTCACAGAAATGTACTGCACTGAGTCGGCGTATCTAGCCCCCTTCGGGCAGGGCAAATCGCTCTCCGTGCACAGAACTCTGCAGGATCTGGAAAGTAAAATAAATTTTCATGGGTAAGGTATCGCTCAGCAAACGGCTGCAGAGTAAGTAACAAATCACCTCTGCCCCGTAGGTTGGTAATATAGGCTATAAAATGGGACATATGATCCGGTGCTGAGAAAAATATGAGAAATATAGCCCCATTTATCTCATTTTATTGCAACCTAATCCATGTTATTTCCCCTATAAATTCACTTTCTCTATTTATTGACACAAAACTCCAAGGAGTGGGTTTTTTCTCCCCTAAAGAGTCAGAATAGGGAGCCGTCTTCAAGAAAACGATTGAATAGGAAGTGATATAGGTTTTTTGAGGTGATGGTTGTCAAATTTTCAAAAGTCGGCTTGATGAAGCCGGGGAAATGGACATTGGCAATACTGAATCGCTTAAATTGTTGAAGCAACACTTTCGCCCACGTAAAACTAACCGTTTATTCACTGTGGACAAAAGTGCTGGATGTTAGAGATAGTTTAATGCCAGAAGCAAAAATACCTTCCCCACCTGAAGTTTATTAAAACCGTTTGAAATCTCTTTTTGATCACTTTAGTAAAAAGTAAATTTCCTATGGCCACGCAAGTTGTTTTATAAATCCGTTGTGGGGCATTTTGAGGGATGCCATAAAACCAAAAGGAAGTCGGTATATTAAAATTAAGTAATAAATGAGCTGTTTTAGTAAATGTGAATTGTAATGAATAACCTTACATGTTGTGTTCTGCTTACCTATTCACGGATCTTTGGGCAGTCATTATGAAATAGAGACCGAAAAGGTAATTTTAGATCCGCAAAATCAAACGAACAATCTCTACAGATTAATCAACAAGGAAGAAACTACCTTGCTTTATGTACGATCACCTTCTCTCCAAGATGCTAAGTTTTATACGGATGTAGACACGTGGATATTGTATATGTTTATCCGGGTAAGTGCTCACGAAGCACCCAAGTTAGTTTGCTTACCTACTATGGAAAGGATAACTGAGCATTGACAAGTTTACAGCGTTCTTAGCCTTTACAACCAAGCACCTGGGGAGGAAGTAATGATTAATGCAATGGCGGCATTATTGCTTTCCCCAAGATTTTTCTAAAAAACTGTACGAGTTTTTCAACAGGAGGCAATATTATAGAATAGTTTTTATTAATTGTCATCCATTATCTAATAAGGTTGTTCTGTAAGGCACTGCAAAGTATTTATAATTAATTTAATGCCCATAAAGATTTGCATTTAAGGCAATATCAGTTTTATGCCCCAGATTTTGTGGTTTTCTCTAGCAGTCTAGCATTGTACACCGATACAACAGCTTAGAATAAGAATGGCGCAAAGGGATGGTGTAGGATACACCTATAAAAAAGATGCTTGATTTGGTCAGAATCGGTCCAAAAGGTCATGTCCGATGTGTACGACTGATACCAATTACTGGGTGCAGAGTACAACCACAATGCGATAGAATGTGCGACATGGGAATTAGCCAGATAGTTCGGTCGCATGTCACTTGATATCGTTACAGTCTCAATATTTAATATTGTTACTAGAACGAAAGCTCTAGTGGTGATAACATCAAGATAGTAGAACTAAACTAATAAAAAGCACAAGCGACTCAATGCTCGTCGTTATGCAGATATTGGGATTAACGAATCACACAAGAAGAACTTACTGGGTTTTATCATCCCACTGGTAACTCTCAGGGCAATCTGGCTTTATGCATATATGACTTCCTGGAGTATTAATGCACAGTTCGCCCTTCTTGCAGGTATTTGCTGAAGTCTTGCACTCATTTGTATCTAAAGGAATTGCAAAATTAGGCCTCAGATTAGCCCTTACAGCTGACAAAGTAAATTCCGGCATTGGTACTTTGCTAAGACTTTTTGTCTACAAAGGGACCGTCATGGCTTGGGCTTGCGAGCCGGCCCCACTAGTACGGAACTGCTTGTTGACGTGCCTCACGAGGTGAGTGTGGTTTGAGGCTTACATATCTCAGCAATAAATACAATAGTCGAAGTTGAGGGCATAATTAGTTATTATTATTGCCCAATAATTAAGTGGAATATTATGATAAGCTTAAGGAAGATGGCTTGACAAAAGCGGCCTGGGTGAAAGAATAAAATTAAAAGCCAAGGGGATTCCCATTTAGTCATCTGAATTCTTCAGACAAGATGAATTATCACCACCATCTGGCATGGTCAGCAGCTTAACTGGTTGGCGATTTTTCCTTGGTGTTATTTTATAAATGTACTTATTAGAACTAGCTAACCTCTGAAGTAGTTAATTTTCTTGATTCAGTTTATCATAATGCAATTTGGAACAGACCAAGAGGTTATAAATCACGGTCACTACCTCTTTCGGCCTGGAACAAATGATAAAGTGACGTTCGATTTTGTCTTGGATTTTGTCGATTATAACAATAATTACCTTTGCAAAGGTTGGTCAAAGGATTAAGTTCGTAGCCGAGAGGACAGGAACAGCGATATCCGCCGTAAGTGTTATGGCATTCGTATTGGCATGGGCCAGGTCCGTATGCGGGGTTGCATTCATCAATGTCTAAAAAATGAAGCTCCCCTTTATCCGCAAGCTCTTTTTTCCGCCTCTATTAGGAGGACAATGATCACCCACAATGCAGGCAGTATAATATGAAGGGTAAGTTTACGGCATAGGGGACGAAAATGGCGAATATCAAAACGGTCACAGTTAGTCCCTTAATAAACGCATAGTTTATATAACATTTGATAACCATGGAGTTCATTTTCTTATCTAATACAACGCTTTATTGGGATAATGGTTTGACCATAAAACATCTTACCAGCGCATCTGGCCGACTCAGAATCCCAGGTGAATCCTGGCTCACAAGCTCTACTTGACAGGCCTAGAGAGAGGAAATAGTTCTGGTCACGGTTGAAAAATCAAGTGCACTAGAACAGAATGAATTTTCTCTGCCAAGTGAAACAGCAGTACATTTCCAAAATAATGAAAAAAAAAATCAGCCGAAACCATAACGGCATGCCGCGAGCGACATCCGTTTCTGTTGGTTTATGTTCTAGTGACCTGCAAGATAGGAAATGCAGAACAACTCCTACCACCTAGTGAAAGTGACAATAAATTGAAGCCTCACCAATCCACGCAGAAAAATAAGACAAACATGCTTCTTACGGTGACATTTTTTAATAGCTATGGCTTCGGATACTGCCAAATGACTGCGATATCATCCATTGCTTCTGCTAAAGCTATGGCAACATGAGCATTACAGTGCTCCTGCGACCCGCCATGGTTCAGCCCTAACATCCACTCTGTGTTTGTGTAAAAAGGAATATGTATTGAAATAGTTCACTGGAAGAGGCTTAACGGTCTTAAAGCATTGATATATTATGACATATTGACATGTCTAAGACATTAATGTCTATATGTCACCTTATACTAAAATAATTCATGCTTACTCCTCTGCTACGTTCAAATGCATTGTGGATTTGCATTAGGTCTCACATTACTATCCATTTACGATCTCGCCTCGATTGCTGGATCAAAAAACAACTCCTGTTCTTGCGTTATGAATACTATGACCTGAATAAGCTATACCACCAACTGTGAGTTATTACTGTTCCTTTAAAAAACACCTTCTAGAAAAAGGCTTGAAAAAAAGGTGTTTAATGCGTATAACTGCTTCACGGAGTAGTTTTGACTAGTCGCGGCAGAACCAAACGCACCAAGGCAGGAGTGTTTAATAGGCGGTTGGCCGTCTGGACACTGGCAACGGAACGAGCCGGGCTCATTGATGCAGACAGCCTCCGCGGGACAGAGATTTTCATTGGTGCTGCATTCGTTAATGTCGATGCAATTTGGCACCCCGTCAGCCATCTCGCCGGCAAAACGGTAGCCTCGGGGACAGACCTGACGGCACTCGTACCAGCCTGGCAAATTCACACAGGCCTCATTGCTTCGGCAGCGCGCCTTTCCATTCTTACATTCGTCAATATCTGCAGGAGGATGTTTAGGGCATTTTTATTAAATCCAAATGAACGGTTCGCCTAGTTAAGTGCTAGGATTGAGGAATGGTCCATTACGATTCTCTATTAGTTAAAGTAGGCTTTAATTATATAAATTCCGATTAATTATAAGTACACTCCTTTTCAAAAGCGCAGGTTTTCGGTAAGCAGATTTAAAATTATCTCCTGTAAATATAATATCTTACCTATCCCTGATACATGACCGTAGGGCAGCAGTAAACCATCTAACCTTTAATCCGAATATCTCTAAAATGTTAATTTTGCACAGGAAAAGCTAAGCATAACTAATTCCCGACTGACCTCAGAAATATAAGGTCCTAAGGGGTTGGTCAACCTTCTTTACCAAGAGGGTAAAATTGAAGCCATGTTTGATCACACTTCCTTAATGCTTTAAATATAACGATAGAGTCTCACCCTGGCAATGATTGTTGATAAGCTCGTAACCGGATCTGCAGGAGCACACGTATCCACCGTAGGTGTTGACGCATTTGTGACCGCTGCACACATCCTTTCCCGATCGACACTCATCAATGTCTACGATGCAAAACACAACAATTAACAATCCACGCACATACTATAGGATCTACCTAGCACTTATTGAATGTAAAAAAGGTTAGTAAAACGGGACATGCAAGTACCCCGCTTGAAGTGTGCGATAGTCCACAGTACAGACTACTCGAAAATTGTTCGAATGCATAGCAAAGTGCGAAGTCTACTATGGAACGGACTGTTATGCGCAATGAACTTACTACCGGCAGTTGCGTCTGTAAAATATGGAAGATTTTGGGTATTATTTGTACTCTTTTAGAAAATCATAATATTTTCCGACTTTTATATTTGATATTAAATAACTTTCCACAATTTACCCACTAAAAGAAAGTGATAGTGGTACTCTACTCTGTCACAAATAGCTCCATTCTACGTAGCCGAATTCCACCATTAACACCGCCAGCTAATGCGATTAACTCGTTCCTAAGCATGAATTAAATTACTGGATGTGGGGTTTAAATGAATTTGCTTCAAATCAAACTCCTCGTAGTCCTCAAGGCCCGGATATGTAAAAAGTACAAAGTTGCTTTTACTTCTGCGTCCTAACAAATGACGGTTTCCTTCATAGTTTTGTAACTATAAAAACTTTTCGGAAAGTGGGCTGACATGGCATAGAATTTTTATTGAAAGTAGAAGTAAGCGACACGCAATGGCACGAAAGAGAATGACGGTAGCTATGCCAGAAATTGCATCTTTCTTCCCTTCCTCTTTCCCGCACGTATACTAAAAAAGTTCACTAGGAAAAACCTCTGGTGTAATAGACCCGAGAAGAATGTTCTTTTTGCAAAATATCCTTAGTCTGTCGCAAATTTCATCAGCGAAAAATGGTGCGTGAAAAACGTGGCTACTGCACAACAGGCAAACCCACTTTAAATTCATAATTTTAGATTTTCCATTTCAAAGGTCGAATCTAATCAAACACCACTTTTCTCTGCTTTATCAGCTTTCATTTCAAGTGCCAATTTTTTGCATTACCTCATGTAAATTTGTAAAAATGTAAGAGCTGTTTCAAGCCTAGCTGATCGTAAAGATTTACCAGCTTAAAACTAACCCACTTCCATTTCATTACACTCAGTAAGTACAAAATCACGACTACCTCAATAACTAAGAGTAAGAGTCAAGGTCACCCCATCACTCACCTTCGCATAGGTCTCCAGACGCCGAAAGCTGTAGACCCTCACCGCACCCCTGGACGCAATTGAAGGTACCCGGCTTGTTGACACAACGCTGTCCCGTGGGGCACACAAGAATGCCAGCATTTTCACCCTCCATGCACTCGTCTATATCCAGGCAGGATCGGCCGTCTGGTGATAGACGGTAGCCCTCATGGCACTTACAACTATAACCCGGTGACGTGTTCTCGCATATATGATCACAGGTATTCAGGTTTGGACTCGAGCACTCGTTGACATCTAGAGACATCAGGAGGCAAGTATAAAGTCATCTGGACTCTAGCCGCTGCATCGGCGCCTCTGCGCATTAACAGGATGTGGCGCACCTCGACAGTAGTCCAAGTTAGCGGCACCAAGAAGCTGTCGTTTTCCATCCATACGCGCCTCGACAATCTCGAACCCTTCAGGGCAGACAGCACCGCTGACTTTTGAGATCGCAGTATCGGCAGAGAGAGAGATGACTCCCCTGGCAGGATCACTAACGACGAACAGTCGGTCTACGATGAGGTTTTGCGAGAGGAAGCGCTGTCTACGTCCAGACGAGGTAGTCACCTCGGAGTTCCAGCCGTAGGGCTCGATGAGACGACGACCACTAGTCCAGTCTACCACGCCGTACGTGCGCGAGGAGGAGGCATGAAGCTTGCCTGAAGGAAAAGTGCCAATCTGTCGGTGCTTTGCTGTTCGCGCAGACAACAATGGGTGCAAAGGAGATGGCCCCAACATATAAGTGCAAGACTAAAATATCTCTAATGCCTGTTTGATAGATAAACCTTTTCTGATCCCTAAAATGGCTGTTATGCAATTTAAAGGTGATTGCCAACATGGCTAAGGCTGTTTCGTCCAACATCCTCTGTGATTTTTTTTAAGGACTTCTGACATCACTATGAATATGTTAGATATGAACGCCAAGAAAGTCAGTGCATCAAACTAAGTATTAAGAATAATCCCATTGCTGTCTTATTTCAATATGCTGTTGATACGGCATTTTTCGATGACAAAAAAACTTTTGAGTAGGAAAATTTCTTTTCTACAGCTGTCTTCTAACAATGAAAAAATGGCATCTTCTGCTATCGCAATCATTAATGTCATTGTTATTTGTCGATTTAGAGGAACATATTTTCTATTCAAAGATTAAATTTTTATTTGCCTTGTTGCGCCTTGTTCGTAAAAATTCGTTAAACAAGGCATGTGCAACAATTGGGTGATGTGAAGAAGTCCTCGAGCTAGGTGGGATGCTTTAAACCACTAAAACAATTTAATACGATTTCAGCAAGGTAGACAAAAAATCAGGTTTCCCACATTTTGTGAGAGCAAAACTTTGATTTGCGAGATCGTTCATGCAGAACTAGAAAACGATCTACAAATGATCCAAGTTGTGTCGTACTTAACTATGCAAGTTAGTAACTAAAAATTGCGAAAACTTTAATCTACATCTCTTATAATTAATACAATTGGAGTGTTTTTGAAGAGGCAGCTGTTGAGGTTTAACCGTGAAAAAGTGTTCAATTCGATGTCATGAACTACACTTTTGGCGATGTGGACTTGTTTGATTAATTGCAACCACGCCAACTTTTGTGCCAACTGGTCCAGAAATTTACTCGAAACTAAACTATAAATGAATTTATACTGTTCAGCGGCAAGAGAAGATTAAGATGTGGTAAAATTAGCTTTACTGATGGCTGCCAACTACAATGGTGACTGCTTTTCGTTTGATGCAACAGGTGGATTGATTTCATCTTTGTACTCTTCGTCTGGTGTGATTTTAATTAATTTGGCTAAAAACTGCTGCAAAAAACATGTGTACGCTCCAGGAGAGACCCTAAAAATGCAGAAATCATGACAAATTTTTGAAATTTCTTCAAACTTTTTGAATAGCAACTACCGTCGGCCAGTAATGACTCCTTATCTTTGCGCATATTCTATGCAAATTTGTGATATGAAGACTAACCACTCCGAAAATTCTAGGTTTGTTCTATTAAATAGCTTCGTTTATAGACTAAACAAGTCATGGATAGCGCTTGTATGATCCAGAATACAAATTTTTGTATCTTCTCCCGAGAAAATAATGGATAAGATTGAGTAATGGCCACCCCTCCTTTCAGAAAATAGGGAAATGTTGAAGAACTCTCACCTTTAGAGGGATCTAACTGAACTATCTGCTCCTTAAAGTCACTTAGTTCAACTTTAGCGCCAGCGCTCCAAGCAGGCACGTCTTTGTCCTCCACAGCGTCTGGTCGAAGTGCAATGGGACAGTCACCGATGATGGTGGTCTCCATTCGCAGCACCACGAACTTCTGTTCACTGCTGTAGTCTTCGTCATTGACACGACGCAGCACCAAGTCCAATCGGACATTTGAGCCGTCCGCAAACTGTCCCAGGCTATTCCATGTGAACTCCCCACTTCTGCCCGTCACGTATTCGCCATTGGATGCGCGCTCAATCTATACACGTTAGGGTATTTCCTTCTGTAAATAATAATCTGCCCACGCAAAATGGCATTGTGACTGGACCATGAGGAATAAAAGTGGGAAATGTTGACAAATCAGCTGTATAAACATAATGTTCATTCCGGCATTTAAAGTGCAGTGCAAGTGTCAGTGAAAGTAACACAAATGAAATATAACCCTGCCCTTTAACTCTAATTCAAGCGCAAAAGTTCAATCACATCTTCATCGACTAGGACCTTATTGCAATTTGTTTTAGTTGAAGTTCTGTTGATACGAATACAAGTTATGTTTACATAATTAGAGATTATCCACAACGACTTGCATTCTTTCACACAAATTTGGGCAACATGCTTGGCGGGAAAAATAAAAAAGCCTGAAGCTTTAGTTGCTATCAATAGAAGCATACTACCGTCGTACTACATCATCGCAAACCGACTGACCGATAAACAGTACCGTTGCAGTCAGGCTTGTTTATACGACTAGGGGGCTTCATGTAACCATTAATCTCTTATTTTTAGAGTGTTTTAAACTGATTCCCCTTCTGATAAAAAGCCAGACTGATAGAAATTTTAAGCAAGCGTTCTAACCGGCGACTCAAAGCGGACAATGGAACAACAACAATGCCACACAAATTCGCTTCATTGATGGCTTGACATACAAGGTGGATTGAAATTAGCTTGAGGAGTTACGTGCTACCCACCTCTCTAGCAGCATACCAAAAGACTGGGGAAGCCATCTCCGAAAGGACCTGTAGGCAAAGCGAGTGCTCAGGAGGTACGTTTTGGAAATCAATTCGGAAACTGGTGACCTTAGGCGACATTGCAGACCAATTTCCAACTATCTTGATGCCGGCCAGAGATTTTCCACCCAGACGTCCACGAAGTTCACCGATTAGATTGCCAAACAAGGGCCGATTTTGGTCTAGAAATCGAAATTTTGGTTATCGTTGTAGCTAGTGAAGTGACTTTCTCATAAGAGTTGTTTTAATGACTTCGCACGGGAAAATTCATTTGAGTAATGTGTGGGGGAAGCTCCATTTATTTCTACTGTATGTTACAGTGCAGTTGCCTCAAGGTGTGCTTCTATGCATAATTTATAGCTTGCACAGTATGGGCGACATCCTTCCTTTCGGCAAACGTTCCGGTTGAGGGGTAGGAAAAGCAAATACTTCCCATCTCTTTACCTAGTCATTTCCATCAAATTGCAAAACTTCAGAAAGGCATTTTTGTCGGCTGCGTGAATTTTACTTTTTTATTGAACAAGCTCGCACATGCTTTGGGAAAATCTTTAAAATATGTATCGTACCGAGTGGAAACCAAGGTTCAAGTGTCTTTCCTATTCATCACCACCTAAGTTCATATTCAACAATGTCATTTTGTTAAAAACACTCACTTTTACCTAGTATTTTAAGATTATATTTTCGATTTATTTGACGAAATAGGCTACGTAATGTTTCCTTCAAGTAAATGGTGTTTCGTCGTTTCCTAAGCTAATCATCAATCTCACAGCAGTTCTTGTGCATCTCCCAGCCCACACATGGAAAGGCGTGATCGCAAGACTCTCCCTAATCATTTTAGAGCCTGCCGCAAGAAACATTCACAGCCAACACGCATTTATGTAGGTGCGACCGTTTGATCCGTGTGAATGCGTTTCACCGGACCCATAGATGCAGCATTTTACGTGGGAAAACTGCTAATTAAATAGGCCGATTTTACTTACCAAAACAATCTAATGAGCCGCTCGCCGGCGGGTAGCATTTTTCTACCTCCTCAGCATGTCCTTCGCACTCACGAATGGACTGCGCGGCGACATATTTCCCGTCTCGCAGAGTCATGCAGTTGCGTGTGCGGTGGCGTCGACCACCCTCGCCAGACTCGCCCTCGGTGGAGGAGCAGTCAGGCACGCACTCGGACCAGGCGGACCACGAGGACCAGTTGGCGTCAACGCCGCCGCCACTGCCCGACGCAATGGGACACGGTTCACTGTCATCCACAAAGGGTAGGGAGCAGGTTCGACTATCCTTAGCGCTTCCGCGGCACAGATGTCCTCCGTAGGACGGTGCTGGCTCCGTGCAGGTACGAGTGCGTGACTGTATGCCTACGCCGCACCGCCCGACACAAGCCGACCATGAGGACCAGTTGGACCATTCTCCATTGACTATTTTAGTTAAAAAAACTGGATAACTATTGCATAGCGTTTCCGGATACGCTGTGGACTCAAAAAATTATATCGGTACTAACGCCATATAATAAAGGAGATTTTGTGTAAATTTCTGCTTCGTGATAATTGGAGTTACACAACATTAGAGAGGTCGTTACAACAGGTCGGAAAAGTGACTTATTAGCCGGTTTATAATAAAATAACTAAATTATGTGGGAAAGATTCCAGAATACATTGTGCTTGCATGATGAGATTGCGCTTCCAATAAAAGCTAAGTTGCTGATGTCGGGCTATGATTGATAGTTTTATGCGACTGCATAGAGAGCTACCAAATAGATTTCCCAGAAAAGCCTTCGTTCGTGCTCTCTTCAAGGCGAGTAATGCACATTCCTCACCATTTATAAAAATAATAGAAAAATACCAAATAATTTGATATTATAAGGTGTTTCACCTTCAAATTTCGTGGTTATAAGCAGCTTAGAAGAGATAACCACGAAATACAAATATATTCATTTACGTAGCGAAAAAAAAGTCGATTAGATGGCAGATTTAGAGGGGGATATGAATTTGCAAATTTTATAGTACTCTCCCCAAAAAGAAATGCACATATCTAATATATTTTAGGATGGACCAAATGCAGATCCAACTGTTTAAAGAGGTTTGATACTAGTCCTCAATTTATAATTACGCAAAAAAATCCTCCCTCTAAGTCCCCGTTCAAGAAATAAGATCGGAATTTTGTGGGTGAGTAAAGGCGCGTTGTTGGTCACTCGATCAAACCCATTTGGTAAAACAGCGAAATTGTCTAAGCTCGACAGTAGGTAGTATATTCACGTGTGCACATATATTTGGCATATTGCGTGCCGCCCGAATATACGACGGTGCATAAATGGTAATGATTTGCGTGTCGGATCTGATTAGATGTGTAGCAGCAGCCCAGAGGGGAACCTGCTGCGGTTGTTAATCATCTTTTTGCGCAATCGGTCAGAAAGCACATACACGCTTACTCGGGGAAGAAAGCAAAGTAACTGATTGTGGGGACAGTTTGTTTTCCAAATAAGGTATTCAAAGAGCTTATTCAAGCTCTTCCACCGCCCTGAAAAATAAGTTTGACAGCTAAGGTCGAATAACCTGGACTTAAAAACTATTAATTTTTTTAGGAAGAACAATGAAAACTTCTCAGTGACTTTTTGACTGAAAACAGAAGTAAGGAATATTTTAAATGTATTTAACTGGCTTCTCGTATGTCTGTATTTATCGAGGCTACGTGTAAAGTGCTAAACGCATTGGCTGGTGATAGCTACCTGGACAGGGGTTTTCCTGGCATTCGGTAGTTTCGCTATCGCCTCCCTGAGGTTGGCAGGGTGCTCCGCCAAATCGTGGTGAGGGATTGTTACACTGACGCGTTCTTCGTCGAATTCCACCACCACAGCTCTTGGAGCAGTGAGACCAGGCACTCCATTGACCCCAACTACCGTTGATAGGGCAGGGCTTTCTCTCGCAAGCTCGCACCTGAAAGTTGGACATTCACAAATACAGTAAAAAATGACTTCGTTTAACTCTCAAAGATTGACAATTATCAGTTCAAGTAGAAAATATTGGTTTTCAATGCACTAAATGAATTGTTTTTGGAAAATCCCTTTATAAGGTTTTTTTCTGACATCATTTGTGATAAAGGCTGCTTCTACTGATTTCCTGATGCAGTCAGCACCGTATTCAGCATAATTTTGGTTATTTTTTTCCCACCAACGAACCTTTCAACTCAAATTATTTTGTCAGATAAGCGTCGCAAATTTTGGAGTTTGCAGTTTTCAGTAATTTAACCATTAAAAGTCTTATTGAAACTACCACTTTTTAGAGATAGCAACTCCCACTGAATGAACTAAGCTTCCCGTTGTTCTTTTCTTTCGCAGATGAAACACTTCCTTCCGTGTTCTTCGCATTAGAGGCAAATTCTATGAGAATTTAACCATGTGATTTTCTAATCGCAAATTTGCTTTTCGGGTTTAGAGCTCACCTGGCTCTCGGGTCCGATGCAAAGAAGACCACCGTTGGCTGGCGGGGGCATGTCGCATTTTCGCTCGCGGTGTTGGGTGCTACCGGCACCGCAGGTTCGTGAACAACTGGACCAAGGACCCCACGAGGACCAGCCTCCTTTGACCGGACACAGGGGTAGATCCTCACAGAGGACGTCCTCCATCGCTTCACCGGGGCATGGCTATAATTGCGTAAAAACCACTCAGATGTGGTGGTGATACATCGGTCTGAATCTGGTGGCGATTATTTTGTGGGATTGATTTCTCTCCCAGTGTCTTCGGTTAAATCGCCAACTGACGTGAGAGATGCGCTATTCCATATTTTTACAATGTATCCACAAACACAGCAAGCCTTTATCAATAAGTCGCTGGTGAGAGAAAGAAGGCTTTATAGCTAAAGTTATCACAACTTCAAAGATTTTATATGATAAATGGAACAACTCTTATTTTATTCCAACCCAGTATTTTGGTCCGAAGCTAAGCAGCTCCACGTAATACTTTGTTTATGTAGAAAATAAAACGAGCATTCGCATTACATGCTGCATAGATGAAAAATTTTGCAATTACACAAAAGATAGTTTTATTGTAGGGCTTTATTACCGTGGTGTTTAGGTAATATGAACTAACCGAAAAAACGGTTTGGATGTATACGCCTCTGGGTATGAATTTTAGGGGCTATTTTGCCTCCTTAACTAATCTTCCGACCATAAATGGTTTTGATAGGGTCACTAAAAAGACAAGTCGAGGTATTGAGAACTTATATTCCCCTTTACTACTGTCAATCACCAATGCCTAGTTGGGAAAAGGCTGAGGTGAAACGAACTTTCACGAATTTTTCTACTTATTCATCGCGGTTTCTATGAGACGCTACCAAGTTAGAAATAGGATATCATTTTTTAAGAGAGTAATTGCAAACTTCGTGCCATCTCTCTCATATTTTAACGCACGGATGCCAGCGTACTTTCTGGGGGAAATGATTTTTCACCTATGTTACTCAAAGCACCGAGTTTAGACTTCTAAGATGGAACTTTTTGCTCAAGTTGCGGGGAATGAAAAACTTAAAAAGCAGTGATATGGACTCTACAAACTTTCTCCTCATTCAGATTAAAGATGGCTCCTCACAAAACACGACCAGCTTTATTCTGCTTGCAATTTAGACCATGTAAATTTTGATTCTAGACCCCTAAAAGAAGCTATTTTCTATTAAATTAAGTCAAAAATAGTTTGAAGACTTATGTAAGCCATATTTTAAGGCTTTCTTTCCATAGAATGTGATGTACTATTGGAAGGAATGAAACAATGGATGTAGTCTTACGATTTTTGAAATTTGGCACAACACTTACGAATTAAATATGCAATCTCAGGTTAAGTAGAACGCAAGATTAGTTGGTTAGAGGCGCAATAGCTCCTTGAATAATGTCATGAAAGACATTAAAAGTTTCAGAGTAGTTGGTAGTTTGCGATCCCAAGGTCCGAGAATGTGATTAGTCTCATACACTCTTCCAGTGACAATTATAATACTCCCATTGTTGATAAATACGTCTTACCACCTCGCTACACAATTTCATAGATGAAGCAGAGTTGTTAATACTGGAACTTCCGCTTTGTCTGGTAACCTTGAAGTGAGTCATGCAATATCCATAGAGGTGAGACTCACCTTGCCACCATTGCCAGGAGGCGGAGAGTCGCATTTGCGACTGCGGTGGCGAAGACCGGCGCCGCATGTGGAGGAGCAAGCACTCCAGGGACCCCAGCTGCCCCACACCCCGTCCACCGGACAAAAGGCCTGCAAGCATGCCCGCGTCTCGGCATTCTCACCTACACAGTAGGCACCACCGTTCCTAGGCGCCGGCGATTCGCACAACCTCCCACTGAATAGAGGAAAAAGCACCTTCTTTCGACTTTGTGGTCAATCTCTTATCAGTCAGCCATCATATCTGCATATAGAACTGTAGGGATCTTTCTGAGTTTCTTAGGCTATTGGTATAGACTCTACTTATTCCATCCAGGCATCTGGACTCCAATCTCATTTGTATGGATGTAATGACTTCTACTTCCATACCGTTGCATTTTATTCAATCTCCATAGGTGACGTGGGCCCTACAACTAGACAAACGTAAGCTCACGTGGCCAAAAAGTTTGGTGATGATTTCAAATTCCATTGCACGTCTGTTTCCATTGTTAAAAACGCGAGCTGGAGTCAATAGAACCATTTAATAATCCTGGCGAATGCATTCTAATTTATTTTACCCGTCAGCTTCAAAATGGCGACCATGAGGTCGTAATTTTGGCCAAAGAAACATAAGAGTGACGCTTAAAAACTTCGAAGATGCTACCATGATCAAAAGTGGTTGTTAATGATTCATTCAGATCTAAACTGACATATGATGTTATTATTTTTTCCCCCATTAGAGGTTGGGTAAGAACAATATTTAAGAAAATGAAGGGAACAGTGCTATCAAATTCGGAATACTGCATAAGCAAGAATTTGTTGGCTATAAAATAGGTGTGAGATGATTGATCAAAATTGGGAATAACTGTGAAGGTAGGCAGACTTGCCGAGGTAAGGTCGTTTTTAGCTAAGCATTTTCAGTGACCCAAGCTTTACGAATGAAAGTGGACTTACTGATATGGCCCTGATAATATTTTGCACCAATACCACAGTTAAATAACGCAACATATGTTTCGAAACAACTTACGAACATTACTGCAACTTTACACATCTGTTCGATGTCCTTACTACTTACTACGTTGATCATATCATCATTCACGGATAATAGAGAGGAGAGATAATGCAATCACTGCATCAGCGATTGGTCCTGCTTATTCATTAATTTACCATATATCGCATTTTTTGCCATATTGACGCATATGAAGGTCCAGGAAGGGGAGAACAATCACACGATATTTGGACGTATGGGGGATTATTAAGCAAAAAGCAGCTCATATGTGTGTTCCAATCCATCTTAGGTTAACTATTCATTAATAGGTACTCATTAGGGCTCACATAGTACTTTATTTGTTTGTTTGACTCCCAGTTTTGTTAACGCACTACTTAGGGGCTCCGCCATTGTACCCTTGTTGGGCGGCCTGGCTTCCGGGTCATGCCAGTAGCTCCAAGTCCTACTGTACGTTAACAGTACATTATTCTGCCCGAGTATTATGCATGCCTTCGTATTCAGGACAGTAGTCTGAGAGGTGAAGGCATATCAGAACTGGAAAATTTCATCACAACGTTTTGATGACTAGTGACAACTAGTTGTTGATGGTATTCGTGAATTCTTAAAAAAGTTGTCACTTCTAGAATATGCTGAAGTATGCTTTGGGCACTTATCTGTTCCTTCTGTAAAACTATGACTGCTGACCGTGAGTGGCATAACGACCCTCCAGTGGCCCGGTATACATCACGAAGAACCAAAAATGGGATTTTGTAATGGTCTGCCATCTTAGGTCTGACACTCATAATAAAGCTTTCAAAAGTTGCATAAGTGTCCAACAAAGCACATACTTTTCAAAAACCAGTTTTATTGTCATTTATACAAAAGCTTGCTTCTAGATTGAGCGTATTTAGATGAGGCCTAAGTAAGCAGCCCTGTGGAGTTAATTTTGGCCAAACCATGCAAATCCTAAATAATGAGCCAATGATTTCGTCAGCTGAGTCAAATTTCAAAAACTGGTACGTTTTCAGCACAGTTTTTTTCAAATTAGCACAATGGATTTAGCACCAAAAGAGTCTACTCAAAATATAGTCAAAATTTATTTGCAATGTTATTGCATAGTGCATTTATAGCAGGTTTTTATTCTTGCCAATAAAGTTTCAGACCTTCGCTCTTCTACACGAAGGTCCATTCATTTTCACCACAAAATAAATTCTATTATAGATGTTGAAGTAAATAAAACGGTACACAACCCGCAACCCTCTCACATCTACTGCCGAGGAGGCAATTTGGAAATTTAAGCAGTCCAAAAATAGGCAGCTGCTTCCGCATCAAATCAACTGACGGTGGTGAAGAAAGAAGTACATCAAAATTACGAATGCTCAAGAAGTTATAATTTTTGGCATGCAGGAGAAAGAACGTTACGTTTCTCTTTTTACGGTGGGAATCCCTGAGTCACCTTTAAGATGTTAAAAGGGTCGGAAAAAATTCCCTAAAATACTGAAAAATGAAAGGTTTTTCTCAATTGAACATCATGCATCTTGAATGTGCCTGATGTCAGAAGAAATTATTTCGTAGGTAAGTTTAAAAGGAAAGCAATTTTGTACAATGGTGGAGAAGGTAACTTGGCTAAGTGGTTCTTAGCTGTAATAGTAAACCGGGTTGGATGCATTTCAGTCGCGCCCCTTTCCCTCTCCTTCGTGTTTCCATGCCGGATAGTTGTCACTCTGTGTGTACTAATAGTGCTTGGCATTTCCATCAGGATTTTTTATAATAAGAATGAAGTTGTACTTTAAAATGCACCCTTTTGGAGATAATATTCAAATGTACCACGGTGATGATGAAATAGAACTATGTGCTTTATAAAAAGAAAAAAATTTATTGCTGCATGATTGCTCAAATTTCATTTAGATCAAACGCCTTTTGATCAAGAGAAACTTGACTTTGTGAACAGTAACACTTGTACTACATTAGCTCTGCTTTGAGCAAATAATACCTGCCTTGCCTTCCTTTTGTTGGCAGAGTCATCATTTGAAGAAATAGGTGACGAGGAAGACTCTTGCCTTAATTCACACCCGTTATAAAATTAAACAACGATGTATATTCATCGTGCCCAATAAAACATCCCCTATTACACGAGGTAAGTGGCCTCGCATGTAGCCGCCGAAACAGGAGACAGACGGGCTAACGAGGTCATTAAATAGGGACACGCATACCGACTACAGTCGGTCTTGCTGCTGCGATGGTACGATTCTTCACCGATTCACTTGCTCTTCAAAAAAATAAGGCTCTAAAGTAGACGCTGGTTGTATCCGCTACTTTTCTTTTCCCACGTAAAGCAATTCGAAGGGAACAGGTTCCACATAACACTGCATCAAGGGGTTGTACAGGCACATTTTAATTGAAGTTGCTTCCGTATTCTTAAGCGTATAGGCAATGCATATTTCGAAATGCGAGCACCCAAAGCTTCAAATGTGTAGGAGTAAGGAATGCTTCATATATTTTCGAAACTTGAAGTATGTTTAAAATGGTCTTTACTAAGTATTAGCAAAAACCACCATTTAGAGCACCACAAACTCCCGCAACTATTTTATTGCTAAGCCATTAATTTGGTGTTTGATGTGATCGGGAGAATTGAGGTTTTAAAGGCAGACTTCCCCAGTCATGACAACGATTCTCTTTGAGGAATGAAATTAGCGTCTAGGCTCAAAACTGGTGTAAGAAACTTTACTTTTATACACTGTTCACAAATAAAGGAAGTCTACCAAGGGGAGGAGATTCAGCAAGAGCATGACGACAGGAAATCAATCCATTTTTTTTTTTCCTACAACTGGAACCCCTGCAAAAACATGCCCATCCATTTTTCATGTATTCCTTGGCAATTTATGAATGCCAGCTTCGTCTGTTTTCACTTTGGACTAAAGTTACACTAGTGTATAGTCAATCCAACTTACGATTAGGCTGTTAACCTAATGAAGGACTTTAACAAAGTGTTTTGTTATCAGACTTTTATTATCATGATGCAATCATAAATAAGTAAAGTCCTAATTTTCGTTTTGCAAAAGGCTCTGCCACCCCTAATGACTTATAAATGCCACCTCTCCTCCCATAGGTGCATTAATCCCAATACCACCAGATTACCCTGACACACTCCTCATCACTGGCTTCCATGACCACAAATGACTGAGAAAATGCGACATGCTCTGAGTCGTTGTGTCACTCCTGTATTTTTAAAAAATTCCGGCATTTTATCCTTTGTTAACCTATCACGATGCCATTCTTGGTTCGTAATAATGGATACAAGACCACCAGAGAGTTATTTCATGCTACTCGCAAAAAACAGCCTTAGCCCCACTTCCTAGCACAAACTGTGACAGAAAGAACAAGTAAGAGTCCAAAGCATACTTTAGCATATTCAAGACGTGGCAGGTTTTTGGAACGTGATGAATGCCAACAACAATAAAAACAACCAGTTGTCACTAGGCATCAAAACTTTGTGATCAAACGTTTTATTTCTGAAATGCCTCAACCTCATGGGCTTGATTTTTATCACTCACACAAACAACAATGAGGTATCAGTTTACGAATAGTTAATCCAGAAAAGATAGAAATACATAGATGAGCTAATTTCATTGAACAAACCCGCATACACTTAAATATCGTTTTGCTATTCTCTCTTACTTGGTACTGCATATGTATTAATATGACAAAAGAACGGAACACTTTCGGTCGTCTAATTGGAAGCGGCTATTTGCGAAACGTAACCTTTGCTTTATTGTTATTGAGTTTGAGTTTTGGGCTTTAAGAGGACTAGCAGTGACATTTAAATCATTACATGCATTGTGAATGCAAACCGTCGGTGATATATAAATATGAGCTAAACTAAGTTTAAAACATGGTCACATCACAGATGGGAACCTTAAAAATGTATTATGCCTCGAAAGTAGTTTAAAAATGGTAGGTATTCAGTTTTGCTCAAATGATAACCACGAATTAAGTTAGCAATGGGAAGGAGAAGCGTAGGTGAGCATGTTCCTTTTTAATGACTAAATAGTAGGCGAAGGAGGAATTTTGCCATATTTAAACCTAACAAGTTGTAATTTGCTTACCGCATTTGAACTCCACGACCACAGGTGGCACTACAAGGCTGCCATGGCATCCATTCGGACCACCCACCCGGAATCTGAACTTGGATCGTTGCAGGATCGGAGATCACCTCGCCCTGGTACGAAGACGCCACGCAGTGATAGATGCCCTCATCCTTTTCGCTTACGCCAACGATTCTGAAATACCCAGGCAACAGCGCCGTAAAAGGCTAATGCAGCCTCAAACACTTGCTACAATAAATTTTGGCGCTAGAAGCATTTCCTTTTTGTAAATTTCTACTGATCTTGCCTTAACGAAAGAAGCAATGTCATTATAGACTAAGAATCTAAGACAATTGAGCAACCCTAAATTTTTATGCAGGCTTTAATGCCCATGCAGATCTACCTTCTAAACTGCTCTAAGTTAATGCTTTCTTCAGGGAATTTCATCTAAACTGTTTAGAGAATTTCATTAAAGTCGCCTTTCAAACGTTCTTTGATTACTTTTGGTAACCTCTATAGATCACGTGTTGATTCTTGAGATCTTCCCTTACTCCTGTCCATGAAAGTTTCAGTCGTTTACACCCCCTTTAATCCGTATCAGCTCCTAAGATTTACTAATGGTAGCTCATCGTTTCCACTTAATAGGTTTGTGTAGCTTATGAAGTCGTGTCTGCATTCCCTTAAGGGTTGCACCTCGAAGTAGAACAGGTCATCTTGACCAAAAAAGTGCGTTTGGCTGAATTAATAATTACTCACATTTCTGACATGAAAAGTGCTCATAGAATTCCTAAAAAGTACACCATGTGAGTTTTGGGCTCTTTGATTACCTACAAGGAATGAAGAACACTTGATTCTAAGCTTCATTTTGAGAAGCGGTCTGAAAATTTTTCTATCACTAACTAAGTGAAAATTACCCACCTTTTTGTTTTAGCACCACTATTCATAAGAAGTCCCACAGCATGTTTTATACGGGACTAAAAATTTCAAGCGTAAGCTGTAATATGTTAATTGTGTGTTTAGCTCTCAGCTGTAGTAACAAGCCACTCAGGGCCACGACATTGTACGTCCGCCGGACGGTCTGGCCTCCGGCTCATGGCAGCAACTCTCAATCCCTTCTGTATATTAACAGTACGTATTCTGCTGGAGCATTATGCCTTCTTTCGTCTTCAGGTGAGTCTCAAGGCGCTACAGAACGACTATCCTTCCCTCTGATAGAATTGCTCGTGTGGTGCGTGAGTTTCTTGAACCCTCAATTCGAGACAGTTTGCTTTAGCGATTCAAAAGTGAAATATGCTCATTGATTGAATAAAACAATGTCTGGTGTAGAGTTCTAAAGGTTTTAATGGCAACGACCAAATTTTGATGCATTTTTAGCAAGTTTAATTTGTATATCGTTTTTGGTTTACCGGAGTGAACCGTTGCGAATGATGGAGTGTGTAGAACTCATTCGTACTGTGACATTGTTGTGGTACCATGAGATGATTGGTGTTGGGTGACCCTCTGCTTGGCACTCCAGAGTGATGATTTCGCCCAGAGAGGCCGTGGAATTGGCGGGTGTCTTAACTAATTGTGGTTTGCCTACAAAGTGAAATCGACACTCATGCATTCTACTGTTGATTGAAAAGTAACGCAGACATTGTGTGGACAAACATACTCTCAATCACAAGCCTCAGTTCGCCTAGATCTTCACCCACCGGATTGGCCGCGATGCACTGGTACACGCCATTGTCGACCGACTAAGAAGTTCACGTATGTTAAGCAATAAGTGAACTTTCAGCCTTGCAAAACGAAGTGAGCAGAAGAAACGTACCCGCGCCATACTTATGACTAGACTAGAGCCGTCATTTTCAATGTTGACACGCTGGTCACTCTTGATTGGAATGCCGTCTTTCAGCCAAACGATTGAATCAGCATCGCCGCTAACATTGCAGTAGAGTCGTGCCATCTCATTGGTTCGTATAGCTTCGTCTGACTGGTACATGTGGACTTTTGGTCGAGCTAAAATGAAAAAAAAATTCATGAAATAGGATATTCCATTTTGCTGTCTCCAAATAAAATTAGAGCACCAAAAATTGAGCGCCGTTATCCACATTATTTGGCGCATAATAGACTATTTTATTCAAATTGTCCAATTTTAAGTCAAAATTTTGATAAAGTTGACCTTAACAAAAAACAATTGCCACATATGAAATTGCCAGTCTTTAAGATATCATGATGAATTGGCCAATTCCGATTAGTTTCGGGTAAATGAAAAAAAAAAGGACTGCTTACACTTGCAGTACTTACTTTTTACGGTGAATTGAAAAGTGTGCTCTTTCTTGCCGGCATCGTTGGTGGCAATGCAAGCGTACTGACCCGAATGCGATTCCCTCAGTGGGCCGATGATTAGCGACCCGATGCCATTGTGGCTGGGGTTGCCTATAAGAGGGAGAAGTGAAACCGTCAGTTGATCTAAAATACCTTATTTGACAGCAGTGAGATTGTTAATACAAACTTACTTCCAATCATGTTGCCTCTGAAAGTCCACTTAATCTCAGGCTTCGGATGACCATCTGCAGTGCAACGGAACTGAATCCATCTGTCTTCAAAAGCATCTATGGTGCGGTTTGGTGTACTCACAAAGGTCGGAATGGCTGAGATAAAGATAAGACAGAGGAATAGAAATCATAGCATCCCAAATTTAGATGCTATATTTCATATGTAACTCACTAAAAACAGTCAAGTAAGTGGAGTCCATAACTCGATCCTGGCCAGGTATGCTTGCAATACAGAAGTAGTTTCCAGCATCTTCTGGCTGTAGGATAACAAATCGAGTAGCCCTACTCTCTGTATATCTCATTGTTGCTTAACTACGGCTAAAATCCTTGTTTATTTAAGCATCTAACATTCCCTTACCCATGGTGATTCCGAATAGCAAAGCTCACCTGAAGATTATGGATTGTAAGGCGAGTGGGCGAGTCAAGTCTAGCTCTCGAGCCAAAAGTCATACCAACAGGCTCATTTTTGAACTCCCAAACCACTTCCGGGATTGGTTTGCCTTCAACCTGGCAATCAAGGGTAATTGACTGACCTTCATATCCGACACTTGACAACGACATCGAGACGCGTGGTGGGGCTGCGGCGAATTACGTACGGAGGGTGGGTAAAGCATCCATTCATTAAAGGAATATGCTTACATATGTGAGTAAAGTAGAACTTACTGCTGACAATAACATTGAAGGCAAGTCGATCCTCACCAGCAGGATTTCTAGCTACGCAAATCCACTCTCCTTCATCCTGAGGCCTAAAGGAACATTTAAAAGTTAAAAGTGATAAGCCCTTCATGACACACTGGCCTTGCCACCATCAATTGAATAAATATGCAGGTGGACCAAAATGTTACATTCATTAGGTGCATGCATTGACTCTAACTGTCGAGACTAAAGACTTGTAAGATCGCAGGCCAAACACAGGCAAATGCTTTCTCGTTAATATCGACTACATGAGAGTAGGTCTTACTTGAGCGCATTAAAAATGAAGAGGCCTGAATCTGTGGTGGTGTAGAAGCTCTTGGTACGACTGAAGGAGACTCCGTTGCGCTCCCAAATGACAATAGGTTTTGGAATACCCTCCTCAACTTCGCAGTTGAGTTGCAGAACTGAGTTCATTTTGCCTGAGGCTTCAATTGTTGCGGGCCGCACGAGTTTCGGGGGCACTTGAACACCAAAAGTGTTAATAGGAATCATAATGGAACTCTTCATCAGTCATTCATTTGGTTGAAAAATATGTGCGTCCGTTTGAATCGGTCCTGTTGAACTGCTTCACTTACCCAAGACCTCAAGACTTATTACAGCATTCTGGCTTCCGGCTTCGTTGCTAGCTGAACATCTGTAGAGACCAGCATGGGTTCTTGTCGCACTTTCGATCAAGAGGCCCTAAAATTAAAGGGTAGAAGATGCTTATACCAAAAGGATCAGGTAATTTTAAGAATATAAGCTCGATTCTTTTTCAATAGGCTGTGCTACAAAGCTTGTTCAAGTCACCCTACTCGGTTGGTTACCTGTTGGGGAAGAACCTGAAACCCAAGAATCTCATCCTGTGTAATCTGTTGACCAGAAGGCAGTCGCCAATGCACTTGAATTGGCGGAGTTCCAGTGACGGTGCAAGGCAGAACCACTTGATCGCCTTCGTTCACAACAACTGGAGCAGTTGTAGTCTGGATAAGAGGACGTTCTGAAATTCCAAACAGTTATGTGACATTCTGTAAAACAATATATAGTCACTGTCAAACGCTAGAGATGTTACCTATTACTTGAATATCAACGGTCTTCGAGTCACTGCTGATCTTGTTCGTGGCTGTACACGTGTATACTCCCGTGTCCTCTTTTCGAGCGTCTGTGATTGTCAATATACCAGTACTGTTAATGAAGAGACGTTTATACAATATACAATCAGTTCTGGAAATAAACAGGCTGTGTTCGTGGTTACAGGACACTCACGCAAGATCGACATTTGTACCGATTCTGAAAAGACCACCAGTACTACGAGTCCACTCAATTTTCGGCGGTGGATGGCCCTCGGCAATACATTGCACAGTGAACGTCGACCCCTCCCTTTCGCGCATCTCGGCCCGATCCAGACGCACCAGTGGAGGCACTGCAAGTCAACCAAACCGATGCTTTTTAGTTTCTAGAGTAATATTTAACTTGTACAACCCCAAGACAGAGTCCCTTACTGATGATTTCCAGCTCATATGTCTTGGAGATATTGCCCGCCTCGTTGTGGGCAATGCAGCGGTACTCGCCCGAGTCTTTCTGTCCAGAAATGAAATTCAACACTCGGTTGTCCATATCAAATGAATAATGGGAGGGCACTGTGTACGGTAGTAGGGGTGAGCCGTTGTAATACCATGTCACCACTGGTGGTGGTGACCCCGTCACAGGGCAGGTAAGGCGTACCTGCGAGCCTATCTGCTGCGTTAACTTCTCTCGATAGCGTACAAAGTCAGTTGGAAAGCGGGGAGCCGCTGCAAAGTAAATTCAAAACATCAGTGCCCCACGTCCAAATGTCCACATTTTGGATAGATTGAAAAACGGAATTGCATTTCTTGTGGGTGGCACTGGAAATAATAAAATAAAAGCGTACCAGTGACAATGAGTTTGAAATGATGGCTGTCAACACCGGCTTTGTTTTTAGCCTCACAGCGATAGGTACCGCTCTCGCTGGAGGTAGGGCGAACCACAGTGAGCACTTGTCCACTGTCTTGCACCACAAAGTAGTCCCCATCCTCCGACATGAGGATCGGCGACCCGTCTTTCGTCCACACAATCTCTGGCTGGGTGCTGTTGTAATCGCGGATGAGGCAGTGGAACGTCTCAGGTACGTACTCGCGTGTCGAATGAACCTCGGGAGAGCCCTGCGGCTTTAGAATCACTGGTGGCACTACGAAAGGCACGATATAAAATCTCCTCTGCAGCTATATTAGACAAGGTAAAAACTAGCCCTGGTTTACTTGCTTAAAGGGGTAATTCATAGGTAACCGACATTTCTGATGATAATAAACCTAAAATAATGTTAACTTAGGAGGACGTATATTAGCTTTTTTTATATTAATATTAGCAGTTGTGGTTGCGATAGCCATCTTGATAGGAACAGATTGGTCAGCATAAGGAAAAGTATGCTAAAGGCTGTTAGAGGATCGTAAATGAACATAATTAAGATAATGGACAACTAAAAGTAGTTGGAAAATCTAGTCAGTAAATATGAGTGGGGAAAATGCGAGACACATACTGATAACGGTGAGGTTGAATTTCTTTTCAATAGCCTCGCCACCGTTGGAGGCCATGCAGGCGTAATCCCCAGCATCGCTCTTCTGGACGTTGGTAATTTGGAGGATCTGATCACCCTGAAGGGGCATCACAGTCTTGTGTGAGTCCTGGGTTGAACTGCTGGTAAGGAAGGAACCGGGTGGGAAAAGCTCCACATCACGCTTAAACCAGGTGACTCGAGGCGGCGGGTCTCCTGTGGCCTCGCAGGACATGTATATCGTCTGATTCTGAATTGCCTCAATGTTGATCTTTCTCATTGGATCCACGAATCGAGGACGGACTAACAAATACAGGTAATCAAATATTTAGTCTGCTCATAAAATTCACATCTATTTTGTTACTATCAACATCCTATTCAATCAGTATCAGTTTACCGACCTAGTAGGGATGGGGAGTTTAAGTGACTCACCATGAACAAGAACATGGAAGGTCTGCGAGGTGCGTCCGACCTCGTTGGAGGCGATGCATTTATAGTCACCGGCGTCAGAGAGGCTGACACGGGGCACAGTGAGCCGGGAGCCGTCGGCTGAGATCTGGATTGCTGGTCCGCTGACTACTGATATCCCGTGCCTTTCCCACGTTAGCAACGGTGGGGGATCAGCGAAACCATGTAGAGGACAGTCAAGAAAGCGCGTCTGGTTGACAAACCACTGCACTTCTGGCTGCATGTTTGATGTGTCAAAGCTCGGTGGCACTTGATGCAAACATTGCAAGACAATCAAATCACCAGCAATTACGACTTTCTTAGCTTTGTTCTAAATTTCCGAAAATCACTAAGCAACTTAAATTCTTAATAAACAAATTTTTGGAACAATGATGGTTTAGACTATGGTGATCGAAAATGAAAACCAAGGAGTACATTTACCAAAATAAATGCAAGAACCTGTGCTCAAAAATGGACCAAAAACAACTGTATCCGATTTCTGCATGTAACTTTTTCAATATTCTAAATCCTTCGTATTTATTCCACCAGTGGCGGTCTGTAGATTTTCACCGCGATCTTCAAAGAGGAAATGGCCTCACCTCTTACACGAACTGTATATTTCATCGTGTCCCATCCAATCTCGTTGCTTGCGTTGCACTGATATGTACCAGCATCACTCTTTTGAACTCGGAAAATTGTCAATGCTTGACGATCCTATAGAGTAAAATACAACCACGCATAACAGAAGAGCAAGCTGAGGTCTATCCAAATAATCTATTACTTATGAAAAGTGCTAAATCGCTTCAATGTATACTACTCAATACAGTTATCAGAACGCAAAACCGTAAGCCAAAAATAGAATCCAAAGTAACTTAAAAGTGGATCATGTCACATTTTCATAGTTGAATCTGTAGTAAGTGCATAAGTATTGTGGGAAAAAAAACACCTGAGAGACAACGGCACGCCTGACTAGGGAATCCTTGTCGGAGGCGGTTCCTTGTTCGCCCAGAGGACGTTCGACCACCGTCTGGGTAGTGGGGTCAAGCTCACTGCGAGTAAAGGAGAGGCGTGGGTCTGGCGAACCCGTGGCTGGGCAGGGCAATACCAACTCGTCGCCCTCCTTTACCACGTACTCACTCCGCAGGCGACCTCTATCAATCCTAGGTGGTGCTACACAGGAATAGTGGAAGTTGGGAGATGGTTCGTTACTCTGTCTCGTATGAGCTTATGGTCACGTACCTCCAACTGTCAAGTCGACGCTGACTTCTAAAGAACCGACCTCGTTAGAAGCAACGCATCGGAAGCGTCCGGCATCCACCGGCTGAATGGACAATATCTCTAACTCGCGCTTCTGGTTGAGGAGGCGATAGCTGAATTTGGGAAAAAGCAAAATTACTTTAAAACCTACGTTTATGTATTAATTCCTGGCATTTATTTTAGCGTTTGAGACAATGTTGAATGAATTTAATATCATCCATAGTTGCTACAGTTCATACAATTGAAGCAAGCACTGCGTTACATTAAGAAATCGGTTTAATAATGTGAAATCATTATCATTTATGTAGTAGCACTCCCAAATACTTTTAAAATTAAACCTAGTGCAAACGATATTACTAACCGGTAAGGAAGTGGCTCCAGTTTGCTACCGTCTTTGTACCACTCAATTGACGGTGTTGGGTTGCCTATTACGAGGCATTCGAGAATTACACTACTTCCCACAGTACGTTCAATGCTATACTGTCGCTGTCCGTCACCATCCAGACGTGGAGCGTCTAGAAGAAAAGAATACCGCTAAAAGTTAAGTAAAGAAATGTATTTTGCTCTTAACGTCTCCGGTTAATCATATCGCATTATAAACTCATCAAAATTGGTCTATGGATGTCTCATCGGATAAGTAATATTTCGTGTCATTTCAAAGCTTAATGAGCTGCGCTGATTTGAGTTGTAGAATTAAATCTATGGTACTGACAAAGTGAATTACAGGTTAACAAAGTGAAAAGATGTTAAAAGAAAAAAACTTACAAATGACCTTGATGTCAAAATGCTTGCTGACTTCACCGTAAGGACTGGAGGCGATGCAGGAGTAGCGACCTGCGTCGTTTTCCTCCGCTGCAGGCAGCCGGAGGTGGACGCCATCATCGGAGATTTGGAAACGACCCTGAGCCTCAGTAATGGGGGCGCCGTCTTTGGTCCACTTAATCATTGGCTTTGGCTCGCCTTCAGCCACACAGAAGAGAGCCACACTGCCGCCCAGAGGCACACCCTGTGTTCCCTCCTCACTTGTGAATAAGAATCTGGGTGGGCCTGTATAAGAGACATCATGTCTTAACTTAAAGCGTTCGGTTTTAAAAGCATCTTGTGTGGTAACAGTAAGATCGGGCATAAGACCACGGGGACTGCTAAAGATTTTGCACTTATCCACTTCCCAAGCCGTTTCTGTAATACTTAAATGTAATCAGTCAACTCCACGTAGTTACTCTGTCAGCCACCATTCCTTTCTACTTAATTAATGCCTTTTAGCCAACAGAAACTGCAGCCATGATTAAAGGTCTGTTAGTAAAGTCCAGGCACATGGATGCTTTTAGCGATTAATTTGAGAAGTGTATTAATTTTATGAATTATTTTATGGGAAAAGTGCTGCTCAAGCTTGGAAGTAAAGTAAACAAAATGCAAAATGTACTTGGTTAAACTGTCCATCATTTTATTGAGAGAATTTTCAATTCTTCCACTCCCCGTTATTATTCAGTAATTTCCAATTGGTAGCAATTGTCTCCTTTGCAGATGAGGGAGCAGAGTCCATCCTTGCAATCGTAGCTCTCAAAGCTACCATGGGAGCAAAAGTCAGTAGTGCAGTTACTGTATCCAACAAAAAGCGGTAGTGAGACTGTTTCATTGCTAGACTTTTTATTCCCACCATCTTGTGTAACATGAACGTGAATTCCTCTGTCAGTTAAGTCCTCGACGGGCGAAATGTCATTCTCAAAGCAACCACCTTCGAAGCAGATGACGCTACATTTCCCCAGGTAGCAATTGAAGCCTCTGAATTCCCCACTTTTGCAGATGGGCTTGCCGCAGCCGGCAAAAACGAGTCGGCCACTTTGTGAAAAGTGTTTGAGCTGTGGTTTAGCAGCGGTGAGCACGATGACAGCCAAAATAGCAAGCGCCCTCATGTCTTACAAATTTGCACCCATTTTTTGGCTTTTATTGCATGAATTTGCTTTGGAAATCTATAGAACGATAGATGCCAATTGCCTGACCTAGTACACTGCCAAAACGTCGGTACCAAAAAGAAGAGAGGCCTCCTTATCAGAGTGCACGTCCTCCAGAACTTTGCAATTGACATTAATGCATTAAGTGACTATTTAAACAACTAAATTGTGACTTATTGTAAAGTCTAAGTTCCAGCTGCACCTTTTCATTTTGACAAACCTATTGTCCAAGTGAGGGATTAAATTTTTGTGATGGGATCATCACGTAATCCCAAATGACAGGAGGGTCTTCACACATGTAGTAATGATCCTACTTTTAATATAGAGGTGTGAACCCATTCACATTTCATTGACCATAGTTAGCTCACAGCCGATGGAATGTTCAGTCGCTTCAAGAAGGTTTCTATTTGACGGATTCCAGGCCGAGATGTCCTTATCTCCAAATATGAAACATTTTATTTCGAGACTCCTGCATTGTCACAGACAAGTAAGGTTATGTGGCCACCAACAATTGTTAATTTTAATATCTCTTATTAAACCTCAGGCAAAATTAAGTGTTTTCAAAACTGACATTCAGAGAGTAAAATAATGTTTTATTTGTATGAGTCTATCGATAAGGATATTACCACTAGAATAGATGAGGCAAACTTGAGTTGCTTGAGGAAATCACTTGATATATTCAGGTCTGACGAGAAGCCCAGACGAGATAGAATATTAGAGCATCAATGTCTTATCAAGCTTCTTGGGTAACCATTCTGCAAGAAGCCATACGCAGGAGTCATACCACTAATACACGTTAGGGAGGCACTTTTCTTAAGTCTCGTCCATTGATTTCAAATTTCCTGATTGACCAAACCCACTTATTTACTTGGATGGGTCTCTAGAATAAACTGGCCAGGATGTGGCGATGTGATGGGTGTGAAGCAGAGTAATTGCACATGGTTTCAACTCTAAGGTCAAAGGGACTTTCGTCTTCAGTACCATGGCATACCGCTTATTCCAATCTTACATTCTTACTGCAACCCCATCGAACGATTAATAACTGTTGAAGAGTAATTGTAGTAGTGTGATCAAGAAAACCCAAGAGGCGTGGGTGTTGAACGATTGACTTACTCATTACTAGGACATTCCACTGGCGTTTTGTACTACCAAATCTGTTGGAGACTACACAACGATATATTCCTGCGTCCTCGGCCTCTACGTTGTGCAGATAAAGCTACAAAAAGTTAGGAAATTATTATGCTAGAAGTAAAATGGTGAATATAACTTGACAAATATGTCATATTTGTGGGAGCCAAAAATTAGGTAAATTTGGCAGATGTATTGAGGTATCAATATCCCATAATTACATGATTGCAAAGACTGGACCCTTAGCACCTAGAGAATTGGCACAAATATGCGTTTAACTAAATTCGGATGTTGTCTTGTAAATTACTTTTCTTTCAGCCAAGTTCATTTATTCTAGTTGTTAACTTTCATATTTAAAATTATTTCGGAAGTACAAACAAGTCTTTGTGAAATATTGACTTTCAAATGCGGAAACCAAAACGGACAAAGCATGTAAGTTATGCTGACATGTTACAGGACTACAAGGATAAGATCGTACCATAGTGTTCCGAATGGAAAAGTTGGCCCTGGGAAAATCGTAGCCGTTAATCGGTTCACCACCTTTGAACCACTCAACCTTGGCGTCCGGATAGGCGTCCCAGTCGCAGGAAAGTTGCGTTTCTCCATTTCGGACCACCGGCCGTGGGTTTTCGCCTTCATGGCTAATGATCACAGGAGCATCTGAAAGATGGAAAGTGGTGCAATGTACCAAATGTTCTGCGGAGCACGAACTCATTCACGTCAAAACGAGGAGCTCCTGAGTTCTAAATTGTAGTGGCACTAGTATTCTATGTCCTCATTCCGCATGTACAAAAGGTGTACCGTATGATTCCCTTCAGACGTGATCCATGTCACTGAATTATAGTACCCATAAAAACACTAATTTGATCAAATCAAAAAGTGAGGGAAAAACGGCTGATGTGTCTATTTTGCACTAGTTATAACCAAGGGAGACCTTAGTCCAAGGAAACATGATCCTGATTCACAGAGATAGATGTAGGCACGCACAAACAATGACAGGGTCAATGATACGTCTGGCCTCGCCAGCATCGTTGGTAGCAGTGCAAGTGTAGCGAGAGGCACTGGCCTGTGTCACATTAGCAATGAACAGTGCTCGTCCCTCGCTTTGTATCTGAATGTTTGCGTTTCTTTGGTCGACCTCGCCTTCGTGCTGAAAGGGACGATACACAAGTTATTTGTCGTTCACCCTGACGCAAGGGTGATTTGATAGAGCTCCAAAGGCTAAACGTACCGTGGACCATTTTATCTTGGGCTGTGGGAAACCAGAGGCATTGCACCAGAGAAGGGCTGATTCTCCACGAATCACCTCTGGAGTCTCATGATCCAAGCCATCCACGAAGAAGGGTTTGGCTGAAGTTGAACTCAGTAGTTAAAATGTAATTCCACTTGATGCCCTTTTATACCAGTTTTATTCCATATTAAATGTTTTGCCTTTGTTCTGCCAATTTTGAAAACTTATTCCGGAGGCTCCTTGCAACAGCATACATCTTTTAATTTAGACACTTGAAATTTATGCTTACAACTACAAATTCGAGGAAAAGATTCAAACTAAAGAAAGGGAGGTCACTGATCAAGCTATAACTCATAGGACATCTGCAGGTCTAAACGAAGGAAAACACGATTATCCCAAAGCCAACATTGCAATGGAGCAGTTTGAACCGCATTTGAGCAAACCAGCTCGAAAAGCGATGTGGCCTTGGTTGGCGAGCCTTTCATTTAAACATGGCAGAAACCTCCTTCTTTAGACTGCAAATGGGGCGCTTATTGCTCCAGGAATCTTCCAATTGTCGTACTTTAACATCTGCTTTCCATAAAATCGTTTATAGCAGTCCAAATTGTGGTAGTCTCAAAGAATACTTTGACAACAATGGGTGACGCTGATGCAAGGCGCGGAGTGAGCACATACCGATGACGGCGACCTGCATAGTGTGTCGATCACGTCCAACGACGTTGGTGGCGATGCAAGTGTAGGAGCCGGAGTCCTCGGGCTTGGCAGCAAAAACCACGAGCTCGCGACCCTGGTCATGCAGGGCATAGCGCTTGCTTACTGTGGAGATCTCCACTCTCTTGTCCGACTGGCCCGCCCCCATAGGGATGCTGGTGGAAGCGATGGGAGTATCGTCCTTCAGCCACTGATAGGTCGGCTCCGGGTGGCCGATAGCTATGCACCTCAGATGCAAATCCTGACCCTGACGCACTTTTTCCTTCAGTCGTGACGAAGACCCTACCAGAATGCCCGGCGATGCTAAAGCACCAAACAATAATTGTGATTTTCTTCCGCCGGAAAGACTTCTATCCTCCAAAACAAGTGGCTTTGACACGTCTGTATTTGGTATTTCAGCCTCCACCTCAATTTATCGTGAATTAAGACGTGTTCCAAAAAAAGGTAAAATGGGCAATATCAGACTAATCACGTTAATTTAATTGGGTTAGTTGGATTAGCATTTCACCGAGCACCACATTCAAATGGTTTATTTCGAAGCCACTTTGACAATCCGCGTGGGCTCACTAGCAGCAACTACATTATCTTATCAGGAGGATGAATCTATCTGGGGATAAAAAGTGGAGATTGGACATCCGTACGTTTTACAAACTTCTCCCGGTGACCTAGAAACCATTTGATAAGTCTGGTCGCTATTTTGTCTGAAAGCTTGTCAGTGATATCATGTGGGCAGAATTCCTACCTTAATTTGACAGGTGGCAGATTAACGGAAGAGATTTCCGTTTATGAGTGACTTGAAGTGATCAAACAAAGTGCTTACAAGTGACTTCAAGGTAGTAGGAGAGATCCCAATTCCCGGGAATATTTTCAGCTTCACATTTATATTGGCCCTGATCCTCCGGTTGTACGTCGTAGATGGTCAAGGTTGACTCATCTGCAGAAACCGTGAACCGATCTAAATAAATTTAAAAGTCATTGTTATCATTGATGGTTTAATCAAAAAAGAAGATAAATAAAGGCAAGACCAATGGACTTGTAATCAGTAGCCAATCACAAGCATATAGATACCAGAAGAAGTAATTCAAGTCTCCCTTGCCAAAATTTAACGTCCCCTTTATATTCTGAGAAGGAAGTATCTGATTAATGAGGAGGCCAACTCTAACCTTGAGGCATGATAGAGAAGATGTCGACACCATCTTTGTACCACTTTATTTTGGGAGGAGGATTCGAAGTGAGCTTGCAAGTGAATGTGATGTTTCCGCCCATCGTAATTGTCGTGATATTCTGCGATATTGGTGGCTCTGCGGAGGGCTCTAAAAGTGACACAAAAAGAAGTAACAGCTTTACGCACTCAGTTCAGACTGTTTGATATGAATTACCGCTAGGTACGTATCTTTTAACAGACATTACCATAGATACAATGGCCAAAGAGGAAATCTGCTATCTATTCACAGTACTGTGAATAAACTGTACTTATTGCGCGAAGTAACGCTTATTGAAAACCATTCCGTTTTGGCCTATTGATGGCGTCAGTTTCTCTGTTGGTTTGCTTTAGTATCTAACTAGGAGACTGAACTTGTCTGTGTACAATGCGTCCCAGTCAACAGCTTAGGTATGGATTAATTTTCAAAATTCCAGTGTGCAGTAGATTTTCACTTCTGTCACGGCAACATTTTACGATCAGGCGCCTCGTTCTAAGCTCTTAAAAGTCCATGCTTTCAAGAAACTAAAAGAGGTGCTTTACCAGGAAAATACCTTTATATTTTTAATTTTTCATGGTTAATTGAAGTACTGCACTTCCAAGTAAGAGAATTTGATTGCGATAGGTGTAAAATTGAATTGACAGCAAACTTACCGAAAACGGTAATAGTTGCAACTCTTGAGTCTTGTCCTGCTTCATTTTCAGCAATACAGGTGTAATCTCCTCCATGATGGCGTTGCGCATTGTAGATCATCAGGTTCCCGTCACCGACAATTCTTTATCAAATGGATGCACTCGTAATTAATTTTCATGATCTGATGGCACATTTCTACTAACGTACAAACAATAGGTTCTATCATTTGCGCAAGACGTCGAAAATGCATGAAGGAAAATTCTCGTGTTTCATGCCCATTGTGAGTACTTTCCGAGCAAGCAACTTGATGGAAAGCAAAGTCAAGAGAATATGCGAATCGTTACCTTCTACAATGTGCAAAATAAGCAGATGACTTTGAGGCGATGATGCTATGTGGAGGAGTTTTTCATTGCCTCCATGGTTATACGAGAATGCCTTTTAAAACTACTTGCGTGGACCATCAGCACCATCGGTGGCTATTACTTGGTACATAACAACGCATTTTCATTATCAAATACTTTATTTGGGCTCATGGTCGCGCTCGCTTGAGGTACAACTTAAGCTCAGTGTCTGGTGCACCTCTGGTAATTCATCGTCTAAAAATTGTTTTCGAAAGACGTGGGTGTCTATTTGATCGGACCCCTGGTCTTTTGTTCCATGGGCTTGTTACCACGCAGTGGCAGAAAAATCATGATATTGGGTGTTAGTAGACAAAAAGTAACATTTAATAAATCATGCATTTAGAGACAAATATAATATTCTACCACAAGGATCACAGGGTTAAGAAACTTCTAAAACTTACGAAATTGGACTTAATTAAAAATAAGGGCGTCATAAGTTTGATAGGAAGACTTTCGGAGTGCTGTAGGATCGCTTGCATACCTATAACCGGGCGTCATTGAGGGAATGATCCTCGACCCCTCGAACCACCAGGAAATACTTGGTTTTGGTGTTCCCGAGGCTCCACAAGTAAGTGTTATAGTGTTATTCAAGAAGACAACGGCTCTCTCTCCAAAGTCCACTATCTTGGGCTCAGCTAGTTGTGACAAGAGAGGAAAACATACAGTACTGAATCGTATATAATCAGCTACATAATGCAGTTAAACGCACTCAAAAGAATAACCTCGTAGTCCATCGAAGTTGTGCCTCCACGATTTCGACCAATGCAAGTGTAGCTAGCAGGGAAATACAAACGATTCATGACTAGTGCACGCAAGGAGAAATACTCGATCAAATGGATTAAAAACTAAGAGAACGACTGATTTCTAGGGCCTATGGTAACCCATCAGTTATTTAATACTTTTCCTTAATTTTTTTATCAGATTTGAGTCTTCAGTACACGTGCTCAAAAGACCGCAAATTGTAGTACGAGTATGACATTGCACCTACTTTCCCTGCAGATCTCCATTCATGTACATGATCGTGAGTTGTGAGGTGCCCTCCCGCGGTGGCCGGATAGACACTCCAAGGTCATCGAGTTTATTGGCCTCCAGTGGACGGCCATTCCAGGACCAGAAGATCTCGGGTTCAGGGAAGCCAGACATTCCGCACTCCAAGTCAACGCGCTCTCCCGTACGCACCAAGAGGCGACGACGGACGTGCGTAGAGGTGTAAGTTGGTGGCACTAATCGCAGAAACAACTTTTTGTTGCATTTAGCTACTTAGCCTCAACGAGTAGGCAGTTGCGTCATAGAAGCCTACCTAGGACGGCGACTTGGTAGAAGCGGGAGTCAAAACCGACTTCATTTTCGGCTCTACATTCGTAAGAACCCGATTCCTCTTCCCGCTCTCCTCGAATTTCCTGTCCGAATTCACGGGTTACAAATAAAGTGGATGTGATTTTAAATTTAAGACAATTGACATGATCACTTCTTTTACTCCTGTTCATGACTTATTATTTTAAGAACTTTTATCAACACTAACTGGTACCAATTCTAGTAGCAAATCTGCATTTCTAAATATCTCGATAAACTGCAATGGCGAAGTTTTAAAATAAGACAATTTATCATGAAGCGATATGCCGAAAATCGGGATTCTACTTACGACACTTTGTCCATTGTCAACAATATGAACGCGACCAGGAATCTCAACCAGTGGTTGACCGTTCTTAAACCACCTAATAGTTGGCTGAGGATGACCGTAGCTTATCATGCAGGTCAGCAATGTCATCTCATTCTGCGCAATCTCCACTTCACCTACTCCCTCCTTCGAGATACTCGGGGGTGCTAAATTCGAGAATGCTTTATTTGTCAGCATACACGCAACATCTTTGGTTCGTAATGCATCATTACAGACTATTGCGTTTTGACTCAAAGTGTAAAGGAATTAACGACAATTACTTACTTGTTTTGACAATATACTCGGGCTACGCATATGAACTTGATCTACTCTGAAAATTTTCCCAACTAGGGTATTTGTATGTGAGCTTCAGAAACAAAACTGAAGAAGCTATACTGAAATGATCCGGTAGATTTGAAGGGGAATTACTTTGTGAAGTAAAAGGCTTTTGATTATGGTGGTTACGATAGTGTTCTGCCTGGAATTCTTAAAATATTGTGTATCAAATGCATGTATAAACCGACTGACGTCACTTACTCCTTACAGTGACCTGAAATTCCTTTGAGACAGCGCCGTGCGTGTTAATGGCAGAGCAGGTAAAAATCCCACTGGTGGCATCGGTCACGGAATAGACAGTGAGGACGTAGCCGTCGGGGGAAAGGATGAAACCGCCGGCACCACTAGAAGAGCCACGCTTGGGTGTCACAAGGCGTCCATCCTTGCGCCACTCCACCTCTGGTTTTGGGTCGCCTTCCACCTCGCAATGCAGCTCCATTACCTTACCCTGTGTGATCTCCACCGTCGTGAGGCGTGTGTCATCAATGAAGCGAGGCTTTGCTATTTAAGGAGGACCATCAAACAAGCAGTACTGTGACACATTTGTCGTTTTCTTCGAGTAGATACAGGTATCATCTTTAGAAATTTCGCTGGTTCTGATAACTTCACCCTTGATTAAGCACTTTATCAAACTCTTAACAGAATCGCAGTGGCACAGGTACCTGCTATTCCATTGAAGAAGTAGGGAAATTAACACATTCATCCGCATGGATTTTAAAGTTTCTCTGCAAACTATCTGCCAAAAATATCCTGAGGTTCGTTAATATCAGGCTCTACTACCATTAATAATGAAATTTCTACAGGACATTTTGTTGAATTGCCAACCAGCAAAGCAAATTTCTTCCCAAACTCAATTTACCTAATGGGGTAAGATGTGGACTGGACTATTTCACACCTGACTGAAGTAAATCGCTGCAGTGAAAAAAAGTAAAGGCGGAAAAGACGGGAAGAACACCCTCGACGCCGACATTAGGCAGTTATATATAAACATGAACTGCACTTCAGGCACTGTATGTGGATCACCAGCTACAGTCGCATAAAAACCATTCCAAGTAATAAAATTTAGAGGGTAAACCTTGATTAAGTCATCCACATATGCTCAACGGGAACTTACTCTGTACATCCAACTCGATGTCAATTTTGGATCTGCCAACAACATTGTGGGCGACGCAAGTGTAAATTCCTTCATCTCCCATCTACAACAGCAATATTTGCAGATCCAAGTACTCCTTTATTGAATTATCAAATTCCAAACCCAAATGTCTGTCGAAATACTCAATTAACGTTTAAATGAATAAGGAGGCTGTTCACTTCAAGCATACTTCGATTGCCCTGATGACGAGACTGGTATCGAGAAGAGCGTAACGCGGGTCGGAGAGATTAATTTCAACACTATTTTTGAGCCAAGTGACCTGAGCCGCAGGCTTGGCATCAAGGACGGGACAGTTGAGAATCATCTCCGAAATGCCCTCCAAAACGACCTGTCGCGGTTCCGTGTATGAGATGGTTGGCGCACCTAGAATATAGATATAGCCTAGTAAGTAATTGTGAAACCCCAAAATCTTTACAACCTTGGCATATATGAGAACACATATCGTACCACTGCGGATAAAGTGCGTCGCTGGAATACGTAAACGAGTCAAATTTATGCTAAAATCACCTAACGAAATAGCTTTCATGAAAAAATGTATTAAAATTTCATTCTGAAAATAACCTGTGGTCCACTCTTCTGCACATCAACAAGACTTTCGACTGCCTAAGTAAAGTACTCCCATATATTCAAAAAGACCATAGTAATTTGGTCGTATTATATATAGCTAACCTTAGCATACCCTGGCTTCAGTCGTATGCTACTGGTACATATTTCAGTAGCTAGCTGCGCAATCAGAGGTCGATGAACGATAAAGATAGGACATGCTTAGAATGGATTCTTGTGATAGTTGATCTCATAATGACTGTGTGATCGTTGTATCGTTTTGCATAAAAGTAACTTACGAATGCCTCCAAGTTCGACTGACACATGATACTGGTCGCGGCCATAAGTGTTGGATGCCTCGCACACAAATGTAGTGCTATCCTCCAAGTTAAGATCTGTGAGAAGAAGGATCGAAATTTCCGCATTTTTAAGGAAGATTTGACTATATTGACTTCAAAAATGCAACAAATGACAAAATTTACTTGCTGCCTTCTTAAATGTCTGAGGTGATTTTTTATTGGTTAATAGGGATCTGTAAGAGACACTTTTGATAAAGCGCAAACTAGAAATTTGTCTAAAGTCAGTATTTAATTCAGCTTATTGTATTACTACATCAGGTTTATGCATCGCTAGCAGAGGTTTATTTTTTAAATTAATCGGTACTAATTCAAATCCTAATGGCTGAACCTAAGGATAATCGGGGAATGCGGCATACATCAGAGTAGTGCCTTCACACCTCACTACCAACTCCGAGTTGAAGACTGGAGGACCAGGAGTTCCCACCAGTACAGTTTCAAGTGCTTACACAGAAGAAGTAAACTGACCGGTAATGTGAAGAGAATTGTCGGCAGCAAGAGTGTATCGGCTCCCATAGGCGACAGGAACCTGGCTTTCTCCAACCAGCTTGAACCACTTGATTTGTGGTGGCGGATTTCCATCCACAATGCAGGGGATCACCAAATCGGAGGCGAAGTCTCCAAAAATGCGCTCCTGCATGGCACCAGTGTCCATCTTTGGCTTATCTAAAGTTGTGCTGGTATAATTTAACTACGGAGAGTTGTCAGCGCTCTCTTGAAAGGCAACAAATGACATTGATGAACGTCGACCTTGGCTTAAAACAGTTAAATAGCCTAACAGAATTATTCTCATACAAAAAAACATTCTTGGAAATGTGCGTATTATAAACTTACGCCCAACCTCCATGGACACTGAGGTTCGCGTGCTTCCGGCGACGTTTTCCGCAACACAAGTCCACTTGCCACTCATATGACGTTTCAAATGCAAGATTTCCAACTCTCCAGTCGTTTGATTCAAGCGAATATTAGTACTTTCACCGACCTATTTGAAAAATTGAAACGATGAATCAAGTCATTCGTTTCTCATTTTGTGATGTATTTTAGCTAAATCATTTTTGTAAGACTATCCATTACAAATGGTTGTTATCACGAGAAAAACACTTGTTAAATTAACCAAGGTAAAAATTTGGCTCACTGGACTTCCATTGAACTCCCATTTAATGAGCGGTGGTGGCTGTCCACTGGCCAGGCAACGCAAAGTCTGCCTCTCACCCTCCTGCGGCATTTCTCGGGCCATGTCGATACGGGTGATTTCTGGGCGAGCGATGAATGAGGCAATGATGTCTGCTTGCGCTTCACCAGCCGAGTTTACCGCAAAACAGGAGTATCGTCCTGCATCCGAGGCATCTGCTGGCGATATTATCAGTCTTGATTCCTGAGAAGAGAAATTTATGACATTTAACCTTTCGTCCTCATCAATTTCCAGCAGGTTATCGGTTCGGTGGGCAAATATTTCAAACGGATCTTTGAATTTTATGCAATCAGATCTAGATTTGCCACTTTAGCAAATGTCTTATAGCTTACTTAGCTACTAGGTTAGGTATCACTCATTTTCGAATCGGTGGGATGACAAAAAGTGTTTTAGGACCATGACTAGCAACAATTTGGGAAGCTTAAAGGTCACTTACCATGTATTCATCCAAAATATTTATCCGTGATGATCCAATTTGCATATTTTCGCCACGCGGAATGGGCACATCGTTGAAGCTCCACGAAATCTCCGGAGGTGGATGACCCTCCACACGACAGGAAAGAACCAGACGACCTCCGTCCTTAAAGTCTACTTGACTACTCTCTGCCATAACGCTGGGTCGAACTGGAAAAGCATGCACATCAATGTAACGTTAATATGGCTGACATACGCAACATTTTTTTAAAAAGTACTTATAAATGTGCGCATGAATTAAGATGGCCCTTTTAATTTAGCATAATTTTAGAGGTGTAAATTACCTACCGTGAATGACGACGAATCCAACGGCCGAACTGACGCCGCCCTTATGTTCTGCTTCGCAGATATATTGGCCGATATCACTGTCCTGGACGTTTCTACAATGGGAAAAAACGTTCATATCAGCTTTCCATGCTAATTCAGGCAAAATATTAGCCATTCTGAGCTTTGGCTCATACTTATTCCGCATAGTGGTAGGAAGCAGCCTACCTAGGTATTATCGAGGTGGGAGACAGCGCAGATTCGGATGGTGTTCTCCATGGGCATAAAAATGAAGCCCCTAGTTCAGTTCTTCTCTTTTGGGGTGAAATTAGCACAAAATACGTAAATTCCAGTATTTTTAATGGTGCTCAAGGAGGTGTCAAGAAGTTGATGCTTATCCCTTCCATTCCAAATTTATCTGACCTGTTTTCAGCGATATCATATAAATAAATTGCCCACAGAAATGTCATTATCAGGTGCAGCTCTCACATCTGTTTTCCCTGAGATGTATCAAAATTGGCCTTATTCAAATAGGTACTTTGCACAGTGCACCTGTTTTAATTTAAATGAAATAATGCTGATGTGCCACTTCCTCAATATAATTTTTGAAGCCCTTATTCAAAATAAACAAATCCTCCCAAAGCTAGATTATGTGGGATGGTGGCTAAGCGCATGAATCATGGTTAAAACAGCTCACGAGATTTGCAGGGTGCTGGTGAAGGTCTGCCCATCAGGTGATGTCTCACCGCCGCCCAACATGCGAATTGAATGTCTGCGACCGTCCTTCACCTTGAAACGGACACTGTCGCCCCGGTACCAGTTAATGTCCACCTTGTCCGCCTGTGAGAAGACTGTACACATCAGGTGCGCCAGTCCATTGGGCTCAACGCTCGCGTTTCTTGGAATGAACACGGTAGGCGGAGGCGCTAGTGAAAAAAAATGGTTCCTTCTAGTTACTTTATCCTTTTTAGAAGGATAGATTTTCGCCTTTTTTCATAACTGACTAAGCAAAGATCGACAACTTTAACGAATTCGTTAAACAGGCCCATTTCGTTCTGTTCATTTTGTACGATGCCGCTCCCAATTTGTAATCTTTGAAGCTATTTGATAGAATCACTGGAAAGTGGCAATGGGATGGTTTTAATCTCAGTACCTTAAATTACGAATTCACGAACTGTTTAGCTTTGTAATATAAATAACTTCAACTACGTAAAAGTATCGACTCACATGTGCACCATAAATATGCAGAGCATCGCAGTGTTCTTCTCGATGGTCATGGGTGGTAATCATCCACTATACAGCCACCGAATTACTCCACCTAATTGCGTACTTGCGGCTAAACGCGAACTTATATGCCCCCACATCCAGCCTGGTCACCTGTAAACATGGATTTCAGGAGAAACTCACGGAGTATAACAACAGCGACCTCGTCTCTTCCCTGTCCCTCTGGTCTTGTTTCTACCCCAATTCCGGTGGGAACCATCACAACCGCGTAGATGCCCTGCGATTCCTCGTTCGCATCATGGAGCGTGTAGGTCACATTAGTTGGTACACTAAAGATGCAAGATGAGCATTAGCCTCCAACTCATTCAAAACACCAAATGCGCTATTATTGAAAATAGGCTACAGAGTGTGATATTCCGGTTGGGTGAGCTGATTCCGATTTTCTCTCTTTGAAATTACCCTTTAACTAAAGCGTTTTTGTGGCGACAGTTAAATCAGAGCATGAAACATTTAGTTGGTTATTCCGCTAGTGAAAAAGAGCCTTATAGCCTTAACATGGTTTATAGTGTTGCCAAATGGGGAAGTAGGTAAAGGACACGGAAAAAGATGGGGTTTTTAAACAGTATTTGCTGCCCTATTTTTTAAACCACAACCACTTTAAACATCTCACTCAGTACTTGTTACGATGCTACGACCAGTGTTTTTTAGGCTAAGACCATATTAGTTTTCATGATGCACATAAGTTTTGAAATAAAAACCTCTTTCATCTTTAAAGTAGCAAAAAAAATAGTTGACTGGCATGAAGCCGATTAACTTGCTTGCAAACAGATAGAAGATCAGGCAATCGGTCCCCTAACGGTTAATTCGACAGCTTGGTGACAACAACATGCAACTTATGGTTAGGCAGTGTACTCATATATGCAAGATAAAAAAGAGGATGGGAAAAACAATGAGACCTGAAGATCTGGTGCTCGCCAGGGAAGTTGATGAGGGGACGGTTGTTCTGGTACCACTTGACACTGAAGGGCACCTCGCTGTCAACAAGGCAGGCGATTTGGGCGGTAGCACCGCGTGCGACCTCCAACTTTGCCGGGCAAGTGACCACCGAGGGACGGGCAGCCCGCGCCAGCAGGGCCACTTTTGAGTACCGCTGGAATGTGTAGCCCTGACTGTCGCGACCTGTGACCTGTCAGGTTGCACACGCTAATAAGTTGCTCATTACAGAGGCTTGGATACTTTTTAGCAATCAAGGTTAAGTTATTAAAAACACTTGAATTTAACCCTTTTGGAGGAAGAATAGTTTTTGCATTTACAGATGTCCAATATACCTAAACGGGGTTACAAGTACTCAGGCAAAGCTCTGGAATCGAATCCAAAAAGGGCCATTTTCAAGGAGTGTTTAAAAACCACGCCCGGATCGTAGCTGAATTCTAAGTGAATTCGGTACCGAATTTAGAAAAACTATTTATGTTTGCTTAAGACCCAACCCATAAGTAGCACGTAAAAATTGGCATTTTGAATCCTTATTCATGCCATAGTGAACCTCAGTGCTAGCTACAAATATTTTTGCTGAAATCGTTAGCCTAAGGTTCGAGGGAATGCAAATTGACCAAATTATGCAATTGATCTTGTCTATCTCGTTCATGTTACGAAAGTGTCCTCCATCGCATATTATTAGATTTCATATATCCAGTGTGTTTCATGACGCCGCAGCTCCAAATCGGATGTAGCAATATAAATCTTGCACCGCTTGGATAATTTATTCGAAATTTAGAGTTCAGCATAAAACTATTGGGAATTCTTATTGTTTTTTCGCTTTGCATGCTTGGATTTTTCGTGACGCGGAAATGCGGCGCACTACTTTGTATCACGCAAGTAACATCTATGGTGTAAGATCTTTGTTTGAATTTATTAGGGTGTTAAATGAAAAGCAGTAGAGTCAAGACGAACTTGGAGGTAGTAATGACCAGGCACGGGGTCCATGGCGTGCTGGCTCACATAAACTTGGCTACCCGGTGTTCGCTCCACCGGCAGACGAACTAGAGCCGTACCGTTCGGTGCACGCAGGGTGATTGCGTCCACACTTCCGGTCATCAGGCGCCCCGTTATGTTGGTCATCAAGTAATTCTTTATGCCTAGGCGGTGGCAAATGTGGACAAGATAACAATACTGGTAGTGCACAAACCCTCCTGGTGATACCGACCTCATCTGCGAGTGATTTTCATCCCCTCTGTTGATTTCATTTCATGGGATTATTCAAGCTTGGCCTAATTTTTCCATGTGGCCTATTGTCTTCTTATTAATTTGTTTGGTTTTATGGAAAATAATGGGAAAGCCCATGTTTATTACAGCCTTTGATATGCCTGTGAGCCATTTATGAAAGTCCAGTAATTTCGGCGATCACATCAGCCCACGATTTTTATGGCGAAATAGGTGAGAAGAGGACAAGAACTAACCAGCTATGGGTTGGCGTGAGGCGCCAAGATTGTAAGGTAGTTGATTGGCGGCAAAGCCAGGCACGAAGTCGATCTCACTGATCCCGGACACGCGAACAGAGTGCCATTGACCGCCTAGGTTCTCCTCGCCCGAAACGCTTGGCTGGCCGCTCACCTCAGCGCTCACCTCTAGCGTCCATGTGCCCGGGGTCGGATGGTCGATGGAGGCCACGAACACATTGGGTACCGTCTTCATTAACTGTCGCAGTCCATCTTCTTTCGTTATTAGCTTACCTTTAAGGACAAAAATGTCATTCACCCACCTTCTGACTGACGTTACACTTGATTTGTGTTGTCACTATCTGCGTCTTTCAATCAACTCCAGGTCGGAGTTTAGTTAGGAAATTTGTTCGCTTCATGTTTCAATTGAAAAAAGCCCGTATTATACTACCAGTGAATGAAAAGGAAAGCACTGGACGCCAAAGTGTTTACAGCTTAGTTCAATTCGACTTAAACCCCATTTTATTCACGTATTTAGAACAGTTAGTGCTACCCAACTTTTACCTGAATATTTGGCCATATTCAGAAATTAACGACCCTTTTAAACAGAGTTTTTGGTAGTTTATAACACGGTTCTTTCGCAGATAAGGTAGTTGAAAATTTTACTGCTCTTAAATACCACATATATAAGCTTGTAAGTCGGAAATTGTGTGAATTCGGTCCGCACTTAGAAAAATTTTATGGAGTTTCAATGACTGCCAAAAGTACCTCTACCCCAAACAAGAAGCGGGAAATTATCAACGGAACGGTATGCATGGAATTTAATTCTAATGCTTCTGTGACATTTATTATGCTTAAGAGGCATGGCAACCGGGAGGTCTAACAAAACTGCTGATTTCGTACAATGAAAAATAGCTTTTTCAGGAGGGGGCCACGTTTTAATGAGTGCACACCATCAGTTGTCCATATCCACCCCTATCGAGTTAAGTTGAACTATTCGCCATTCAATGGGTTTGGTTCTTTCAACTGTCGAAAAACTCACTGACCTTCGGGATCTCGAATTCCCACTTTGATTGAATCATTGGTTTTGTAGTTGGTCACCTGAATAGTAAGTTGAGAGAGGTGGGTATCCACCGGGAAACTGTAGGTCTTGGCTGTCGTCTCCCATGTGTCTTGCTGGAGAACCTGAACCTTCTGTGACTCCACGGCTGCTTCAATGACCCGCATGAACTTGAATTAAGGTTAAATACGTTAAATAAACAGAGGGCGCTTCTTGGATTGCATTACTTCGTTTGTACATTCAGACTATTTAAAACTGCTCTAGAGAACACAACTGCTGATAAGATCGGTTTGTAATAAGTAGTTATGATAATTAGAGGAAAATATCACCGTGGCAGTATTTGAGTAACATTGATGATAACTTTGGGGCCATCTTAAAACCTTTTGGATAGTTAAGAAAGAAGGTTTTTCTGTACTTTTTGCATTCCCAGTTCTAGTTGCCTGGAGAGAGCAATAAACTACACCTTCTTTTTTTACTAACCTAGCCTTCCAAGTATGCCAAAAAAATGCAACAAGTGTGGAAATTGTTGATTACCTCTTTGACCTGGCGCTTTCCGATTATGTAGACTTGGCCAGAACTAACCGTTGCTATTTCCTGATAAGCCTTGAACCCAGGTTCGTCAGTTGTATTGCAAAATCCCGTCAAAACAAAGACAACCTAGTTGGAAAGGTGTTATACTGGTTAGATTTCCCGTATTTGACTGGGATAAATGGTCACAAAGCGCAAAAATATGGCAGTTTAGCAGCGAACAGCTTTGATACGTTATTTGGCAAAGATCATTTGGAATTTTACGTGGCTGCTAATGTCTTAGTCTTCTTGGGCTCACTTAATCGCTCCCCCACGTTGGAATCAGCTATACGCCAACTCAAAGTTAAGGACCTTCGCCAACAATTCAGGCAATTGCGCCTTTGCAGTAAGGACAGCTGCCGGTTGGTCTTAAGATTTTGAACGTATTATCCTAACAAGCCCTGGTTTAAAAAGACTTGGGAAAAGCAGTAGTTTTACATTCAGTGCAGTGATCCATCAAAATAACGCTCATTCGCTCCACATTGGAAGAAGTTTGTAGTCACATTAAGACCTTGACCCAGGGGAAATAAGGACATAGGACATAAAATGAACAGTGGTAGCCTTGCCCAAACGGAGGTGCGCTGGTCAGATGACAGCTGATGACATAACACAGGTGACAGGTCAAACATTCACAATGGTCATCCGTCACGATTTCGTCCTACCTCCTCACCCGCCGCTCATTTTATGGACACGTGAATTAGCACCTACTAGGCAAATAATGCCCTTTTGGTTGCCTCTTTCCACGGTGTGAGAGGCAATTGCCGCCTTATTCAGGTGATTGATTTGATCTAAGAGAAGGCTATGATTTTGGGTGTACGAAGGTTAATGAAGCGATCCTGAGTGTTCCACGTTTCTAGCACTTTGTTAGATTCCTTAAAATTAAGGTGCATACATTGAATGCAATAACTGCTTCTCTTATGAGGCGGTTTAAGCATTTTAATCGCTGTAAAATCCAAATATGTAATTTATGAATAACTGTAAAGTCGACTGAGTTAAAAACACGATGAACTTGTGTGCCAAAGGTACTGTGAGACGAGAGCAAAAGAGCAACCATGTAGTGGGAGAGAAATTTTGGCAGCCAGTCAAAGAAGGAGGACTGCCTACATCTCATTTTGCTTGAGAGCACTCTGAAGCAATGTGGGGGAGAAATGTCGGTGACTTAGGCAACTCAAATCACATGTCTTTCTACCGGTAACAAAAACAATTTAGAATATTCAATTCCTTGTCCATACAAACGGAACAATTTGGATTATGAAAATATGGTTGTACGATAACGGCAAAAGTAAGTTTGCAAACCAAGATTATGAAATCAGCTCTTTCGCTTCCACTCTAAAGCAGTGAATATTTCCTTTCCCCGGATAGATCGCTCACCAATAAAATGATTCAGTAACTAAAGTTGAAGTAATTTGGTTCACTCAATGGGCACCGCAAACAATGGCTAATTTTGAGAAGTGCCATGGCAGTTTACAGCCCCAGAAAAAGCCCACAACTCACAATTTTGGGATTGTATAGTTATACGCACTTATTTTTCTTCATTTGTTGATAAATTAACCTTTCTTATAGGTTCTGCCTTTCAATCCTCCTTTATTGTCTAGTAAGTCATGATGATACACTTTTTGAGTGCCAGTACTGCCATTGCCCTTACGGTTACTAAAAAGATAGGAATAATGGCAGGGTGTTAGTCACTCCAGATCTCTTGACTGTTTGATCTTTTGGATGGGTCACAATTAGTCAGTGGCAAGCGTTATTTCTCCGTGCCCTCACTCGCGCTTTGTTTACTCAAATCTGAGGACTAGACTACGGCCTAGCTCAAATCAGCAACGTGAGCTGGCTTTTACCAGTGGAGTTGTGAGTGGAGATATTAAAATAAGATGGAGGGAGGACTAGATGGGAAGAAGTAGATAATATTGGGAAACAGTCTGAAATCGCAACATTTACCTTTTTGTGAGCATCGACATTGCAAAGGCGGAAGACGTTTCTGGGATTTCGGTGTTTCCTGCAGCATCTTCTCCCCCCCCCGCCCCTACCTGTGCATCACGTGGTGATAATGGTTTGGCAAATAATTCCTACATAGGGACGTTTCATAAGGCACATCTCTTCTCCACCCAGGATTGAGTTGATTAAAAATCACTTTTATTGTCATGTCTACAGTTGGTTGATTATGAGACGGCTCTAGCCGCAAAAAAATTATCAAATACGACTTCGGAAATGCAGGCCTTAGCCTTGACCGGAGTTTGCCTTTTGAAATTGACCGCGTGAAAAGTGCGTTCAAGACTCACTTGTAAATTCACTTTGCTTCAAAAGGCAGCAAAAGCAGTTGTCTGCGAGGTGCAACATCCAAGGGCATCTGTAAAAACATCTGTTTCCTCAAAGCGGTTTGATTCATAATAGGCCAAAATTTAGCCCAGGCTCATCCTACTGGAAGCCGCAGATCTAAATTAACTTTTTGGATGAGGACAGATATCGATACTACTCTTCCTATCAAAGGCTCTATTCAATAACTCATAAGAGCTCTAACTGGCTGCTTGCCTGACTCTGTTTTTTCTGAATGAGATTCAAGACACGCGGGAGGCGATCGTAGTCCTTGGCGCTGCTGTCAGTAAAGACATAGATGAGGGAGTTTGGTTGGGCTGCCTCGAGTGCCATCTCAATGCCAGTGATGGTCATTTCTGGACAGTCGCCGCCACCTTGTGTGTAGACACCTTCCAGGTACTGGTAGAACGTCTTGGTCGAAGTTGTCACCCGTGCTGGTCCAACATCTAGGTGCAGTGACGAGTGTTATTTACAGCGGCCCCTCTTCATCAGGCCTCTCGCGTGTTTATATTCTCAAAATTCACTGCTAAACCCGTTTTGAGCCAATTTACATATTTCTGAGCCTTTGCATTGACTGAGAGTTATCCACTGGGCTAGTCTGGCGAAAGAGTACATTCATTCATGAAATAAAAAATTTAGTCGACTCAATCCTCCAGTAAATAGCCGAAGAGCATAACTTCTTAATCGTCATTAGTACAAAATGAAAAGTTTTAGGATTACCACAAACTGGGTGAGTTAAAAACTGCATTATACTTCTTATTTGCTATTGTGATGGGTTAAAATAATTATAAGACCTTGATTAGAAACTAAAGCATCATTTGGTTACTGGATTTTGGAAGAAAGCGTCGCTGTCTTTGACAGCATTTGCAAATATGTAGATTTTCCCCCTATTTTTAAATTCCATCGCAAAGAAACAAGAAAAACTAAGCTTCTTTGATGGGGTACACTAAAATATCTTGCCTGGATGTACGGTTTTTACCTTTTCTTGTAATCTCCAAGAAAGAACCACCAAAAAACCTTAACTATTTTCTATCCATGCCTAATCGTCCATTTCTCGTTGCGCCTGTGGCCACAACTCGAATGATAAATGTAATGAGGTGCGAAAGTATCCAAGATTCATTAATCCAACTTCATTCTGCAGCAATCCAGGTTAGGGATAAAAGTTCCCTTTAGGCATGGAAACAATCGTCAACTGACAATGAATCTTTGCAAAAAAGATGATTAATTTTGACATTCCGATATCATAGAGATTGGCTATTCAGGATATTCATAAAACTGCCTTACTGTTCCAAAATTCACACCATCTACAGCTACAGAGACAAATTCTGCGGTGCAACTTCTACGACATTAAACTGTCCCATACGAGAGGCGTCCAAAATCACATTGAGGCATTCATCTTGTAAAAGTAGCACTTCAGACTGAAAATCTGCAAAAATTACCACATAACAGTTTGAATTGGGGGCTTTGGACACGATGAGTAAGCTTTTCCGATATAGCTAAGGGACTACTTATTTAGTGGAATTTATAGAATTTAGCAGATGAATTGAATATGACAGCTGAACCTTATCTTGGAACGTACACCTGACATTTACTATGGAAAGTCGTCTTTAGATGCGAACTCACCAGGATCGTGCACTTTGACCAAAACGAAGTCCTTAATTAGGGCCTCCCGCCCCTTCTCCAAATGCCTTTGAAGGATCCTTCGGGCACCCAACTTGACTTGTTTCAAGTCGTCACCCATGGATCCTGTCGAGTCGAAGACAATAGCCAAAGAAATTGATGATGGCATACTCTCGGTGTTTGAACCGCCCTCATACACCTGCAGAGGTGGTGGCTGTGCATCCAGGTAGCCGGAAATGTAGCCGAGGGATTGGGACTGGGGACCTCCGTAGAAGGATTGGGATTCCCATGCCCTCGTGAAGAGGGAAACCAGGTAGAGTAGAAGGAGCAGCAGCCTCATTACCACCGATGCAGGAAGACAAGTGGCCGGGGTCGGGCGTGCAAGCATCCTGGCGGTTACGCATGTGGGCTAGAGCTGGCCAATGGGTGCCAGGGTGTGTGTATGTGTGTCAGTCGTGAACCAATCACAGTAAGAGTGGTTGACGTGTTTGCAGGGCCATACACTAGCAGTGCTATAGGCCGACTTGTCATCCCCCTCGCCAGGGGAGCGGGGGGCATGAGGGTGGGTTTGTGTGACTAATCTCCTCTCAGACCAGCTTCTAAACCGGCCCAATAACAGACACTAACGCCTAAAATTCGCAAAATGCAAGGCTCGTACGGTTCCTCATTTTTGTCAACTTCGTAGTCACGGTTTTTGCGAAAAAAGGTTTCATTTTAGACCAAGGCCGCTACAATAAATCATGGACAACTAGTCCAGTTCTCTTATGCTTCATTTCGTCTACTCGTCCATTTTTTCGTTTCGAGCATAGGAATACATGCTTGAGAATGAAAAATTAGAATGAGGCCGTTCATGCCTGTTGGAAAGATTAGTGGGACATAGGTACACATCTCGCCCAGGTAAAGCTAACATCAGCAGGATAGGAATTTCAATCTTATATCAAATAAAATACATCGATTTGGTACACAAAATTAGTATATTGTTTGAAAAGCATCAAATGAGACACAGTTTCTTAAAATTGTTTATACAATTGTTAATTAAACTACTAAAGGTTATTACAAGTTGTAAATACATATTGATATATAACTGTTTCACCATCTAAATGTAGCAAATGTCAAATAGATTATGTTGAAGACTCCCTAATTCAAGAAAATGTGACATTAATTTCTTCATGAACACCAGATTAATCGAAGTTCATGCTCTTTGCCTCACCAATGACTAAAATTGGATCGCCTTATTTTATTTTGGACCTCTAATCAGTAGGGAGAATTGGCCTGTTGTAGTTTAAAATGTAAACGGGTAATTTTGGTTAAATAATAACCAGCTAAATTGCTAATTACTTACATCTTATTTAGCCCTTTTAATACCTCCAGAAACTCACCTTGGGAATAAGCAGAATGGAGGTGGTAATTCACTCCCCTTCCCTCCCTCCTCAGCCTTTGCTTGTACCCATCCTCCCGGAAATTTACGGGATGTATTAACTCCCGCGGTTCCTCCATGCAAGCAGTACCTCTACGTGACCGGATTTGGCTAAAGTGCTATTTGAGTGCAGTTGAAATACTGGACTTATCACCGCTTTTTTATACAAAAAACCCTTATTATTTGCTTTTCTAGATTTAAGCCCTTGGGTCCTTGACGGTAAATAATGCCCCTGGTTCTAAACACTAACTTCAATCTTTTTAAAGAAAAAAACAGGAACTTTGCCGTTAACCCTTACCCAGTACCGTAACATTGACATTCAATAAGTCTAGACAACCGCACTGCCTCCCACAATAAATGAGATGGAAACTAAAATTCGTCTTATGAATTTTTTCTTTTTTCTTTTCTCTGTGACATCTTTGAGAACAAGACAGTTGAATGTACACAGGACAATTTGATGTCAGTTGCTTCTCCACGCTACCCTTCATTTATGTAGTCTTGTCCTCACTCTTGTTAGACTGCTTTGTTTTCATCAACCATTATTAATAGAAAGTTATTTCAAAGAAAGCTGCATATGTTTCAGTGCTCTCCTTGTTACATGTCCCTTGGTATGAAATTGGTTACCGGGGCCACTTCACCGATATTTATCTGTAATACTTTGTTGTTTGTTGAACTCTTCGTCTTGACTCCACATTTCTACTTCCGTTGGACGGCAGGCCTTCCAGCCATGCTACTAGTTGCTTAGTTCTTCTGTGCGCAAGCAATACATATTCTGCCCTGGTAGTATTTCTTCTTTCGCCTTCGGGGAAGTCGTGAGGTGCTACACATCATCCACTTTCTGTCATTAATAAAGAGGAAAAAGCAGTAAGCACTACTGCCAATACTTTTCGCGCGTATGGTCATAGAATTGAGTTTCTCTTGCTAAATCTTTTGCCGAAAGTGGAAACGTTTGCTTATTCGTATTTAGCATAAAGAACTTAAAAACAAGATTGGGGAAGCAGTTGGTATTTGGGAAGCCGTCTTTACTACATAAGTGTTGTGGACAACTAGAAGAAATATTTTTCTTTGCCCTGATATCAATAATTCAGACGTAGCTCTTTGTAGGATTTCATAAAGAAAGTAAATAACTTTCATAGCCAAATGTGGTGTGTATGTTTACTTCGACCGTGCAGGAATTCCGCCTTAATTCACACCTTAAATGTCACGTTCCTTAACTGTCATAAAAGCAGCCTTCTATGGGACCGTACTGTGACTAAATCTAGAGCTTAAAAGCAAAGTATTTTTGACAGATGGAATGACTTGACTTTGACACCCTCCAGACGGAGACGCAGCTAACCCTACCCAATGTGGCATGTGGACGTGTCGTTTGTGAGAGCCATCCTATCGATACCATGTAAATGGTTTTGAGTAGTTTCTATCATGCATAATTGCACCGATTTACTAAACCGTTATGTGAAAGTGGATTATAACTGCATTCAACTAGTTTTTGGAAAGGGGAGGTTTGATGTTCATCACCTAGTGGGCACTAAAACCAGTCCAGGTTTGCAACCGTATTGTGTTGTCAACCCACACCTTGCGAATTACGATCAACACTGCACCAAGGTTATATGCTGTTTTCTAGTAAGTCATAAAAACATGGACACAGTAGCCATATATGATAAATGAATGCCTCCAAAGAGATGTTGCAAATTGGCAGCAAATTTTACTGATTTCGTATTTGTGATTCCATCCAAATCAACATAAAGACGAAAGAGGCTGGTTTACAACATACATCACTGGGTCGACACACTGCACCATTTGTGGGGACTTCACTAAGTATTTAACCTTTCTGAGAGGTTTAAAATGAGCAAAAGTTAACCGCCGCACACCATCCATTCCAACTGAAAGTACCTTGGGACGTATATTCACCTGAACAACGTACATAAATCCAATCACCTAATTTTAGGAGTGAGAATCTCCCAAGCTCGGCCACGACTACCTGGTTGTGTGTATTTGAAACGGCGGAGGTGGTCGAAAGCCGGCTAGCCGTTGATTATGCGTGCCACTTGTGTGCAGGCGCACACACCGACGTGCAACTTCGTGCCGCAGAATGCAATTGATGCGCGTGTGTCGACATTGGTGAATACCTATTTATAGAATTTGGGAGTGGCATGAAACACTGTACCAAAGCCTGGACACTGTACACAGGACGCAACATAGCAGTTCAAATCAAAACTTTCCTTCCAGCCATGCCAAGATGTCTTAGCGGTCAGATTTTGTTTCATTTCTTGAATGAATTTAGACGCCTGAACTTCCCCTCACTTTTTCCGTCTTTCGGCAAATTTTGTGAAGTAAATTTTTTTCACAGATACCTAAAGTGGATAAATTATATGCAGTCTTATTCAAGGTGCAAATAGAAGGACGTTAATTGAACGCTATCTTGCTCTTTCGCTCTGTGGTTCTATTTCAAATTACGCAATCCCCAAGATACCCAAGGTCTGGTTGCTCCTACTTCATTAATTACCGTTGATGGAAACGTTTAAAATGCTAGCCTCATATTTGAATGGAAGCATTCTTTAAAGAGGCATACTGTGAGAGCGATAATGGGAGTTGAATTCTCTCTCTCTCTCTCTTTGGTTCGTCTCCACTCATGCCGATCAATGTGCATTCCAACATTAGCAAGTTGCAATGGCGGTAACTCTGTTGTGAGAGTTCAGTTTTGGTACAAAAAGAATTGCTCTGTGACGAGCATTCCAGGCCCATTGGGTTTGATGTCTCTTGACTAAGCATATTGCTACTTCTTTGTATCTTTGAGAGTCCCTTTATGTCATTTTGGGGAGTGACACCCATTGTAGTGTTCTAGTGGCTCATAATGCTGTTTGGTCTTAGTAGACGAGTTTCATTTTATCTTACAGCACAACTATGCTTGTGTCTAACTGAAATCTGCCTACCACGCTGATAACAGGGGATTTTGGAACAAGGTGATGAAAAACCTTCATAAAGACTAATATGCCCTTCATCATTTGGTCTGATAACTGGATTTACTAAAATCCAAACAGTTAGAATGGTTAAAAATAAAGTGCGCAGAAATTTCGAACCATGACCTTTGCCTCTACGGCATTTAACTGACATTCATAGTCTGCTATCGTGCCCTATGGTTAGCCCAAGCAGCTGTGGGATCCCTTTTCATAAGTGATTCCGATGCTTGGCATTTCCCATCACCACGGATTCATAAGTGGTTCACAGACCTGAAGGAAAGCTTTCGCGCCCTACCCCCTCCTGGTGGCTAAACACCTTTTACGCCATAAATTCTTTGCAGACAGTTCTCGAACGTCAAAAACTGTGAAGAACGTATGCCGCAAGTGAACCGTTCATGTGTCTAGATGAGTCAGTACACTTAGGGTTTCACGGATTCTCCTCTTCCCTTTTCATTTCTCCTTCGCTATTCGACATTTCGCCTCAAGTGAATGTGGGCACAGAAACAAAGTTGCATCATAATTCAGATCCGTTAGCAATTTTCAAGGCACTATTTGCCGATCATTGATGATGCTTAACGTTAGTGAGTCATTTACTCGTGGGTCTGGCCCTGCATCCAATTCCAGGAATCCCCGTATGACAAGACTAGCCGTGCGGTATTTGACATCCGTATCACTTCTTTTAATAGATGGGAGATGTGATTTTCTGAAAAGCATACCTCTTCACTTTGCGGTACAGTCACACAAAGTACTAATTGCGGGTGCTTTTGTTTGGGCTACAAGATGATTCTGTAATTTCAATTAACCAATTCCAGACTCCTCATGGCAGTTGTATTCGACTACCAACATAATGGAAGGCCCGGCTGTTCCCACTGGCCAACTTGTAATCCAATGGTGTAGCCCCATCATTGCAGCCAAAGGTGCCGAAAACTCAACCCATTTACAAATTCCTTATAATTCACACGTTTTTAACCCCCGCTGGCCTGTTCTTCCGTGCGTGAGAAGCCCCAAACACCAGTCATTAGCATCGGCTGTTTTCTTTAAAAAATAAGCCTGAGCTTGTGTACAAACGCGGATCCCCTGATCGGTATACACAAGACGGCCATTCACCACATCACTCCTCGGAATTCCCCTACCTAAGGTATTTTGAGGTCGCTGCTTTGTTTACGCAACCGATGGTGGGATCTGCAAAAGCCAATAAACGTTTGATCTCTCCCTTCACTTACTTAATCTTTGCTGCCTCTAATGGGTAAATCATCTACAGTTACGGTGGAAGTTGCCACTTGCTATTTATCATGCATCTTAAGGTAACGAATACGGCATTCGAAACGCACTAAAAGAATATCATCGTTTGCCTACTGCTATGTTCTGCTTGTTCGTAACCCTATTTCACGCGCGGTCTGTCTGCTGAGCAAAAATTACTGTGCAGTTAGAAGGCGAAGACCTCTGAGTGGGATAGTCATTCTCAACTCATTTTCACCGTCCACGCAACCACACGAGAAAACTGCGGTGATAAAGTTTCTCCATTTTCCCCCATCCTCTGGCATTTATGCGTAAATGTCAAAACACAGAGAGAAGGCTCTCTAGTTGCTCAATGGGAGTGTGTAGCAAGTACTTCTTTGTACCCTATAGCACACGGTAGGCGATGTAAAAATTGAAAAGCACGAAGTCCTATACGGTGACCTTTTTACAACTTTGAAGGCAGCTTCAATCAGGGCATTTGTTTTTGTTCTCGTACATGCACCTATGCATGGCTGCATTGGCCGGTGATAGTTCAAGCCGAAGGTTTGTACCTCAATGAATACCACCTGCACCCACCATGGACAATGCCAAAATTAAAACCGAAACGCCGTTTCCAAAAGGCACGATAGCTTAATCGAAAGCATAACTTCTTAGAAAGTGTAAGCTCTCCCATGTTCGGCTTCCTTATTGATACGAAACAATGGCATGGCATCACCGCCGGACAAAAACACAATCCGAGTTGACAATAGCATCAAAGCGCCGTTCAGAGCATGGTTTTTTGAGCTGAAATATATTGAGCCGACTCCGCAACTAAAAACTGTTCTAAACAGAACCACGGTTGTAAAAGACACTTTTAGCTGTGGACAGCACAACACATTCGCCGAAAAAGGTAGTTATTTACCTTATTTTCCAGAATAATACCAACAGTTGGTTCTCTGACAGGCTATAAAGACAAGACTGACCGTTCCAAATGAGAAAATCGCCAGTTGTCATTTTCGCAGTCAATAAACCAACAAATCCGACCGTTCCCACATCTCTTCCAAGATGTTGAGGCAAAAAGCAAATTTGGGTTCAATCAAAAACTACGCATTTGCGTTTTTGCGCGAGTGTGATATTCTTACAGGAAACAACAATGATTAGAAAATTGGCAGGCGAGACTTATAATGCACAGAATCCCCCCAACTTTATTAACAACTTGACAATTAAAACCTGAACGGAAAATACGAAAAAACAACTTGGACACTTTGAAAACCAATTTTACGTTGAGGTGGATTCCTACTGGTTAAGCGATAAATTCCTCTTAGTAAAGTTAAAATTTATTGTTATATAAAATTGGCGTCCCAAATCAAAGAAAAAATAACAAAGTTTTACGCACTCCAGCAGGATGATGGTAAATGGATACGACCTTTGACGGCTCCCTCCACAAGAAATTGCTGAAAAGATTAACATACCTCAGACAATGTGTACAACCTCACAAAAATGCGCATTTATCAAGCCAATGTACATTAAGCCAAACATTTAACCGAAGGCATATACACATGGGGGAAAATTATAAAGCAACAGGAATTGAACTACCTCACTGTAAGTACTTAATAAAGCTGCCCATTGAGACAAAATCTACACAAATGTATTCCAACGACTAGCCATTAAGCAAACATTTCGAATTGCACTAGTGTCAGATGGAGGTCCTCAAAACTTCTTCCGCCCATGTTACTTATTTACATTCAGTAGCAGTTGCTCAGCGTAGGTAGGGAGATGACACCAAACCTTGCTTACCTTGAGTGGGATGCAGGCGTCAACGAGGTCAAGACCCAGACCCCTGAGACTAAGCACAGCGTCAGAGACGCCGCAACGTGCGCTGAGGCGACGGATTAGGGCAAGTTTTGAGGCAAGAGGTCCGTCCATCTTTAGAGGTCCACCAAATACCTCGTCAGGCGCATATAGTGCCTGAATGCTCTCAATAAAGACACCCAAAGGCAAGACTGAGCGCTGACGCTCGGAGGTGAAGTGAGAAAGGTGCCTGGAATCCGCTACAATGCAAAGGTAAAAAGCGTTTATTCCTTCCCCTTGATGACTCTAAGACTGTTCCCACTATTCCGAGAGATCCCGCAACACAGATACAGGTGCAGAGCAATATAAGAACAAATTGATAATTGGTAATGTAGAGCATCTCAAAAGCGTGAGTTAGTGAGTTAAGAAGTCGCATCTTTGGCCCTACCAAACAGCGCATGAAATGCGTCGGTTTCATCAACTTACCGATATCCTCGCCACAGAAAAGAGACCGATTAATGGTTTCAGCAAGACAAGCGGCATCCCCAAAGCCCATGTTCACACCCTGGCCAGAAAGCGGCAATATACGATGGGCCGCATCTCTACAATTAGAAATTTGAGGCTAATCCTGCTGTACAAAATTTCGTCATTTTAAGCAGAGAAGCAACAAAAACAGGGGACCAATAAAATAGTTCAGAGCCTGAAATAATGGCCCACCCAATGAGGGCCACCCGAGGTCCATGATAGAAGGTGCAGTGACTGAAACTGAGAGGAAACTGAGTCCGAGTGCCAGGCTGCACAGAGAGCACCTTAGGTGGAACAAAGGAGGTTTGCTTTTTCGACACACTCATACGGATGATATTTGAGAGAGCGGAGACGAAACCACTTGGCTGATAGCAGGGCTGTGACATGTGGCAGTTGAGTTCATTAACAAACTCCTCGTCACTGAGAGCCATCAGACGCTTCGCCTCGGATCGAGTTGTACTCCAGGTCACAGAGCATCTCTCCGGACCGAACTGACTTGCATAAAGTAAACATCAATGAGTTTACTTACTGACGCCCCCAACTTATCACAATTCAACTACATAATAATTCCTGCTCATTCTTTTGTGGCTGTCATTATGCATTCTAAGTTACATTTCATTACATTCCTTGTGCACAAAAAAGAAGCAATCTCTATTCAAAAGTAAAAAAAGCGCAGCCTCGAATGCTGGCCAATAAAGTCAAGGATCATGAAATAATGGAAAACAAGTATTTAACAATAAACTACCGGTAAGAAAGCTATTGGACCAGTCTCGGTAAAGCGCTGCCACGCAACCGTGTAATCATATTCCTAGATGTTGACAAAGAGAGTAAAATTTAGAACAGACATGGTAGAAACCAATAACCGCATTTAATTTCGGAATTGTATGATCGCTGCGTCCTATTAGCAAATATTATTCAAATTACAATAATTAAGTGTCGGAAAATGAAGGTAATACCACATACAGGACCAAGATTAAGGTTTGCAATAATTGCCGATTGATCATGCTGCCACCCGATTGTGTGAATGCCTGAGGCTTTTCGAACGTCTGAATCAAATCCGTCAGCTCCCACCTAAACCAGGTGTGTTAAGCCGTATGAACAAAACTAAGCCACAAAATGCGTACCAATAAAGATGTTTTAATGGTAGTTTTTTCATCCGTGCCGCGTTGACGAATGGATAACTCAGGGAAATCGGGATCAGAAAACGCTTTCGGCATACGCAAGTTTTCTGCCACCGTATCGTACAACACCTCAATAGATCCAGGACGAGCATCGGTACCAGATTCGGCTGCGAATTTCTCAACGGGCTTTATGAGAGATGACACTATGAGGTCGTTTTCGACTATGTATCCCATCACATCGTTCGGATTTGACCGTTCCAGAAGAAGACTAGCTGATGTGCCGTTTTCGATAACCTACGTGTAAAGCATAGTAACTAGCGCAAATACCTTCATCTTTTGGATGGCCCTATAACGTGTATTCTCGATTTCACTCCATGCACCCACCCCTAGATAATTAGCATCATCTATCAAATCTCACCTTCCAGAAGACTACGACTTGTGGGGGTAATTGCAACCACGCGTACGCAATGATTGGGACGTTTGACATACTCCTTCTTGGGCCCACCCTCAATCAGTAAAATTCTTTTATTTCGCAACATTGGTTGTAAGCCTTAGTGAATGATAAGTAATTGGTGCCTACCTGCAAACGCAGCAAAACCAAATCCAACCATGCCACCACCGACCACAACTACATCATAATGTGATCTAAGCGCTTGCGAAGAGAGTAAACGATGTGGATGTTGGACGGGCGAGGCAAGACGCAACAACCTAACGAGCATACCGCTGAAGAACAACACGCATCCAAAAGTCGCGGCAAGGCACATCACAAAAGTGGAAAATTAGGATAGGTTAAAAGTGAGTGCGTAATTTCACACAAATTGCACACAAACAACAACTTTCGCAGCATAATTTGCATGCAGAAAATATGTAATTGGAGTGGGTACGGAGACTTTAATAAATCTCATGCCCTTTTTGCTTCCGCAGACAACGATAAGCATTCAAAACCATTACCAACATTTTTAAGTAGAAAATTTGCAGCATTTCATTAAATACTTGACACGTTTGCGAATCCGCATCCTCATAGCTTTAAAATGTAGGACTGACCTTTAAAATGCCGTTAAATATGTTATCATTTTGCTATAGGTGGTAGGTTTATGGAAACCCAATTTACTCTTCAATGAAATAAAATTTGAGCATAGGGCTTTAAAAGGAATTTAGCTTTACGTGGGTGATGAGGGTGCATGCAACGAGTCCGGCCATCATGACTGATTGTCACTTTTCCTACAATTTTACTCGAATTTTATGGAAAAGATGAGTCACGGAGACACTCTAGTACGCTGAAGCCTTGTTCACACACATATTTTAAATTCACGAGCTCTCTCGTCTTCTCAGCTTTTTCCTTTCACTCTGTCGCGTGTCCTCTGCCCATGCCTGCAGTCTCTTGGGTTTTGCAGAAACTAGCATTGCGGTCCCAGTTACCTCGGTTGAAGAGAAAATTGCATGTCGTTAAGACAATTTAGTGCAATTTGTATGGAGTGTATTTGAAATGCAAACGGTGCATTTGTTTCTCGCACGGTGTACATGCATGGAGTCCGTCCTTCTTGAACAATATATTGTCTCTTGATAATCACAGATTTTTCTATGGGAGTTCAAACGCAAAGTGCCTTTCCCGTTCTAGTTCATTTTATAAATTTCTCCCACTTCTGCCATTCCTACTAACATTATTGTTGGGATCCCTCGATTTTTCTCATTGGAACCGAGCTGTAAGTGAATTTTTCACGGTATATAAAATGTCGTAACGCAAAATTATCACAATTGAAAGTTTTTTCACCAGTTCTATACAGGGTCAGTGTGTTGGAGCAAAAGGAACATGACTGCGTGGATGGTGTATGGGTCGTTAAATAACGAGATCGCAAATGTAACATTTATCCGAATGGTGTTAGCTGCTAAAGCTCCCTTCGTATAGTATGCATTTCTTAGTGCGGTTGTATGTGTGTATGCTTTGATATGTGCTTTGACATTCACAACTACTTTAAATATTGTCCTTAACTGATTATGAAGAATACGCAGTGCCATACATTTACAGGACATAGTTGTTAAGTGGCGCTGCTGTCGAACCCGATGATTGGCTGCGTTTGGGGCATAAATTTCTTGCAGACTAGTAGAAGAGCTGATGAGTTTTGGAAAGGAATGGCATGGGAGAAAAACCATGATAGCAAAGTGGATGCCGAAAAATGGAGGTTGGGGTCCCTACTTATCTAACCGTATGGTTTAGACGGTGATAGTTATGTCACGCATACTGCTGTTGAGCGTTGTTCGAGGTGTTTTCCTGCGGCTCCATTACACGGTCCATCACATAATGGTTGTTTGATTTAAAACTAGCTAACAATCACCTCGTAAGAATACGGTAATTTTTAACCACAGTGCAGCATCTAGCCAATTTCACTGAACTATTGTGTAGCGTTCCCTTTCCGAAACGCATTATCGATGATCGCTCTCTCAGCAGCGTTAAAACTGATTAATAATTAGCAGGGAGAGCATTTCGCGCCTAAGTAGGTGTTTTAAGGGACATTTTTGACTCTAGTACAACATGAAATACAAAAAATGCCGATGCGTGTATCTGTGTTTGATACTTATTCCCTTCTCTCGTTTCAGTTGTGACGCTGTCTAACTTAGTTGTCTCTTGCTTTTTGGGAGGTAGTGCCAGATATTCACTCTTTTAATTTCAATAGCGCACTGACAGCCATGCTATTAATGTGATTTCAATAGCCCCCTGATTTAAAGCCTCCTTAAATTATCCCATTACGAAGAAATTTGTCGTAAGCCTTTGGTGAGGTTTTAATTTTTGTGCGGCTAGGATTTTCGTTTATTTTTGGTGCACGATGATTATTAACCCCATCAAGTTGGTTTTCGAATAATCTGGAAAGCTCGCAGAGGCAGGTAGATTTCGTTGCCAAGTTCCAAAAAATCATCCTTTAAAGAAGGAGGTTATTTTGGATATAAAGCCGAATAAATACTCAAATACGTTATACAAACGTAAGAACAATGGGTGTGACACGTAAACAAAGAGCTTTTATCTGGTATTTCTTTAAGGCTGAAAGAGGTCTCCGTGTTTGTCTTCGAAACTGGAGTCGCTGCGGGCTTTAACAAGAAATCTAAGGGTGTTATTCAAAGCACTGTATTTTCTGCATTAATTTACGGATTTGAGTAACAATTTAAGGTTGAATATTCTAAACTCCTTGCCCATAGGACAAATCGTACAGAGCAAATTTTTCTCTCAGGCAACGAAAAGGTCATCACAATGGGACTCTCATTTTTTTCAAATGTGAAACCAAAATTGCCGTTTTAACAGCCTATTGAACAATTTTTTAGCCTGTGACCAGCGTCGCCCAAATGGTAGGTTTTGAAGAATCGAAAAGCCCTAAAAGCTTTTGCGATCCATATTTGGCTAGTTTGTAGCACCTTAAACTGAGCTCTGAGTCCAACACTTCATCGCTTTTCTTATAAATAATTTATGCTCACTGATAAATTACTCTTCGTTTGGACTTGCTTTGCTTTAGGTGGATTATTTGTTTATGTCTACTGGCAGCCCTTCTAATGGCGTAGCCTCCTAACTGCCAGTTTTCGTGCATCTTCATGGCGTCTTTGGTCCGGGCGAGTTTCGCGTCTGTTGCAGCCCGGCTGGGTTGTGTGCCTACTTTCGCAGGGGCATCTCGGCATGTTTCAACGGTAGGGAAAGATTATACGATTATTGACCACACCTATGATGCCGTTGTCGTCGGTGCTGGCGGTGCTGGTCTTCGTGCTGCTTTTGGCTTGGCTAATGAGGGCTTTAAAACTGCATGTGTCACCAAGCTTTTTCCGACACGTTCCCACACCGTCGCTGCCCAGGGTGGTATTAATGCTGCTCTCGGAAACATGGAACAGGACCACTGGAAATTCCATATGTTCGATACGGTGAAAGGTTCGGACTGGCTCGGTGACCAGGACGCTATTCACTACATGTGTGAAGAGGCTCCCAAGGCTGTTATTGAGTTGGAGAACTATGGAATGCCTTTTAGCCGACTGGAAAATGGCAAAATTTACCAGCGTGCTTTCGGCGGTCAAAGTCTCGATTACGGTAAGGGTGGTCAAGCTCATCGGTGCTGCGCTGTTGCTGATCGTACTGGGCACTCGCTTCTCCACACTCTATACGGTCGCTCACTCCGTTATGAAACCGATTACTTCATCGAGTACTTTGCGCTAGATCTTCTGATGGAGAATGGTGCGTGCCGTGGCATCAACGCGATGTGTCTCGAGGATGGGACGATTCACCGGTTCCGAGCCAAAAATACTATCCTTGCCACTGGGTAGGTGTCAAATTCTGAATTTGTACTAATTTTTGTAGCGGTTATGGTCGTGCTTATTTCTCCTGCACCTCTGCACACACTTGCACCGGTGACGGTACTGCTATGGTCACTCGTGCTGGCCTCCCCAACGAAGACATGGAGTTCGTACAGTTCCATCCTACCGGTGGGTTGATTTTTGCTTACTTCCTTTAAAGGAGGAAAGTAGGTTAGGAAAGTGACTTTCTTTAGGTATTTATGGCGCTGGTTGTCTCATCACTGAGGGCTGCCGTGGTGAAGGTGGCTATCTGATCAACAGTGAGGGTGAGCGGTTTATGGAACGCTACGCTCCCAATGCCAAGGATTTGGCTTCACGAGACGTGGTGTCTCGTGCTATGACGATTGAAATCCGCGAGGGTCGTGGTGTCGGTCCTCGTAAGGATCATTGCTACCTGAAGCTGCATCATCTGCCTCCCGACCTTCTGAAATCTCGGCTCCCCGGTATCTCTGAGACTGCTGAAATCTTTGCTGGTGTTGACGTTACAAAGGAACCGGTTCCTGTTCTCCCGACTGTGCACTACAACATGGGTGGTGTGCCAACTAATTACAAGGGACAGGTATGGTTAAAAACTTCCATTAATTAGTGGGAATCATTTTTGTTCGGGTTCAGTGAGCTTCTTTTGCTTAGGTTATCACTTATGATGCTGCCACCGGCAAGGACAAGATCATTCCTGGTTTGTATGCTGCTGGTGAAGTTGCGTGTGCATCTGTGCACGGTGCCAACCGTCTGGGTGCTAATTCGCTTCTCGACCTTGTCGTCTTCGGTCGCGCTTGCGCCCTCGACATTGCTGAGAAATGCAAGCCCGGTGATTTTGGCCCCGAGCTTCATCCTGAAACCGGCATGGAGTCGGTCGCCAACATTGATAAACTCCGGAGTGGAAAGGGCCAGTTCCCTGTCAGCGATGTACGTTGGTCCTTAAGACGTTACATACGTGGTTTTCGGCTTACTCTAAAATGTATCTCCTTCAGGTCCGCCTCGAAATGCAACGCACTATGCAAGAGCATGCTGCTGTCTTCCGAGATGGTCCTGTGTTGAAGGCTGGTGTCGAAAAGATGTTAAAGCTCTACGCCGCCAAATACGACAACCTTAAGGTGTCTGACAAGAGTCTCATATGGAACTCGGACCTTATTGAAGGTCTTGAACTGCAGAATCTCCTCATTAACGCTGTGCAGACGATTGTTGCTGCTGAGGCCAGGAAAGAGTCTCGGGGTGCTCATGCCCGTGAGGACTTTAGGCAGAGAATTGATGAATACGACTACTCAAAGCCGATTGAAGGTCAAACCAAGAAGCCAATGAGTGAACACTGGAGGAAACACACGATGAGCTACCAAAACCTCAAGACCGGTGCCGTTAAACTTGAGTACAGACCCGTGATTGACAAGACTTTGGATCAGAACGTCTGCCCCACCGTGCCTCCGAAAATCCGTTCCTACTAATAGTTCAAGGTAAATCTTATTTTCACAGCTTTCTCGCCTTCATGGGCTTCACAAACGGAACTTTTTTAGTCTCTGCCACCATTGTAATCAAAGCAGTTCTGGTTGACAAGAATTACGTTTTTGCTATGTTCCGGTCCCGCAAGTCTTAGTGTTGGTTGATTGTGCGTCCAAACATGTAGTATACTATGTCCCATTTCCATTTTCTCCTATTCCAAATGTAATGCTAATAAAATTTCATTTGGATACGAATGGCTTTTTGAAGGCGTCATTAATGGTGTGTATGATTGGTGCTAGCCGCTTCCACATGCGGGTTTTCTGCGTGGCCTGTCAGCCATTTCCATATTCCGGAGGTGGGGTTGTGTGCAACGGGTTCGGGGTGGGTATATCCCGATTCTAGTGATGCCCTGTTGTGTAGTCGTGGTGTCGATTTTTACTAGGGCGGGGTTTGTGTGCTTTGCGTCATCCCGTATGTTAGCGTCGGGGTTGGTACTCTGGGCCGGTGTTTAAACCCCAGTGACTATCGTGGCGTTTGGAGCACCAGGACGGTAGTTTTTACTTTCTCCTAATGGTGATCACCTTACGGGTCGGAGTTAACAACGGGTTCGGACTAGTTGTTTTGTCGGGGTGATTCGCACTGCGCCAGCACGCGCCAGGTGCCGAACGTGCAATGGTTTCGCAGACCATCACAGTTTACCGCAAGGCAGGGTTGTTGTCATCCTTGGCTGTGATGTGTGTGTGAACTCGAGTGTTCATTTTGAATGCGTGGTCCACCGATGCATGGGGAATGGTGTCGGCTAATATTTTGGAGTTCATTTGTCAGGGCGTCGCCTCGTATGAGCGCTTCTTTTGACGTGGTTATTTACAGGGTTGGATTTTACTCCAGTAACAAGCCGTGGGCCACCAGAGGTGTATATTAATTATTCCATTGGTGTTTTTAGTGTTTAAAACAATCGAAATAGTTCCTCGATGGATCGTGTTCTTTTATTCTCGAAAATTAGCCCTGATTTGATATGATCGTAAATGGAAAGACTTGAAATGCTTTGTATCCCAGTAATCAGGTGGTGTGTGAAGAGGGATCTCATTACCCCTCGTTGGTCGTATCCCAGGCTGTGGAAACTAATCGGAATGATGATGAGTAAGTGGGACACGTCAATTACAGCGACCAGTAGGGAAGGCAGTGGGTATTTGGTTAAGTCAGGTGCTCATATCTGTGGGGTCGCTAAAGTTGGATTACTTTTTTCATCTGTGCGCAATCGGGCAGCGTACTGCATAATCGTGCAATCGGATGATGTAATAATAATAATAGCGACTATTCAGCTGTCGCCTTTTCAAATTTAAAATTGGCTTCATCAGCTCAAGCAGCTTACTAGCTAGGTTTGAGAGCGAGAAAGGGAAGGACACCCCTTCCATGGGTTGAGATGACAAGGTTAGGGTGGGCGCAGCTCTCTTGTCCCCGTCCTTGCGCATGGAACCCCCCCCCCCTCACCCCAGTGTTGCTAAGCCCTCGCGGTCTGTGACGCTGCACGTGTGGGTTTGTAAGCCAGCGCTGGCTGACACACGTGTGGATCAGGGCTGATATCAACGGGCCTCACCCGTGCCAGCTTACATACAGTCCATCTTTTTAATAATGGGGACACGTAACCTAGACCACGCCTCTGGCAGTTTTCTCAGGCACACCATCCAAATCGTGAAGACCCACTGCCAACTTTTGTACGCATGTGAAACGTACGGCGCCGAATTCAGCCACCGTAAACCAATTGGCCGCGTGGTTTCGTGAAAATTAGACCCTTGTAATGCGTCTCACACCTATTCCACAACTCATGTGGGATTGAATGAACCACCTAAATGCGGAAATATGACCACTCCAGGGGTTTGCTTTTACCTGGCATGTGTGTTTTGCAGCTACCGAGGCGCTTTGGTGTATTTCAAGATTGAATGCCAACTGCCCAATGGCATCGGTGCTCGCATATTTGTAACGTCACATAGTGCCTGCTGAAATGCCGCAAAAGTGCGAGTAGCATTGCAGCGATTGAAAGGTAAAACCATCGCACCGAATCGACTGCAGATCCTGGGTGGAGTGTCTGAGCATGGAAATGAATTGTGCCTTAATGACAAGCGAGAATGCGCGGTCAAGGTGAATAAATTTGTTGCTTTATTTCACAAATATTGAGGGAATTTTCAAACTATGCGTTTACTAAATTGAACTTAGCTTCTATTTTCGGAAGAATGACATACTGACAGTTGGATGCTCGATAAATTCAATGTGAGCCATGAACCTTTGACCCGAATTTCGTGGGTGGACCACTGTAAGGGTAAATCGTGACTGTGACTCGGTGGCTGCTGTGAGTTCAGCAACCACCACAGTGGGCTGTTTAAAAAAAGTTAAAAACACAGATCAAATAAATGAAACGCAGAGGTGAGTCCCATCCAAAAATGTGGCCTGAAAGTTTTCTTGTTTGGGCAATTTTACCTGTTTGTGGAAGCGGTGAATGGACAGGTATGTCAAACTGCGTCTCAACCTGGCGTCGAGAGCAGTAGCCGTGGGTTGGAGGCAAGTGCCTATTCATACGCTCTAACAAAGGCGAGTGAGTGAACAGCGTCATGTGCTTCTGCATTGTGCATCTGTGGGCCGCCAATCACAATTTGAAATGCCGAGGGCTTGGAGGACATCGTATCTGCATCAAGGCTCACGGCATTTCCTCACACAAACGCTGAGCAGTGTAATAAAAGCAATCAATTTTATGAAACATTTGTATCATTCTATCCGTTGCAAAAACGCCCTTTTAAGAGATATGCACAAGCTTAGCTGAACCAGAAAAGCACCAATTGATTCGTTTATACTAAAAACTGAATTAAACGGTTCTTTTAAATTTCTATTTTTGGGAACAATCATTCCACATTTCTCATTTTGGTAGTCGTTTTGACCTTCCATAATCACGCTAGTGGTAGCAAAATGAGGTCGACAACCCCATTGACATTTCTCCTCCTAGGGGAGAAGGGTGATAGTCACCTTCCAGTAAGGGTTCCACTTGCCTTACTTCTTCGATAATCATCAGGTTCACCATTATGGTGACTCACATAGGCGGATACGCCAGATCCACCTAGTTTGCTGCCTGGAGTCCATGCTCAGCTATTTGTGTGACCGCGAGAGAGGGTAAATGAAGTAGGCAGATGTGAGGTGTCGACGACCAGCACTTTGTGACGACGCCCCCACATTTGCTCGTTAGTAGGCCTCACGCCTGAACCCCAGACACTCCAGGGACGCAAAAGACGATGGCATCGATACGCCAGCATCATCACTTACCCACCCAGATGTGTCACACACAACCAGCATCGCGACTAATTCACATACTTATTCGTCGGTTAGTGGAACGTTGTACCATTCCCTTGATCAAAACTTTGCATTGCCTACTTCCAACGTTTTGAAGTAAGTGCAATAATATGCCTTGAAATCATTCCCATACCGTGCCTCCTTGAACTAGCAACCCCTAAGCATTATTATTTCACTGATATTAGGAAAAACAGGTGTGATAAATAGCGAACTCTTTTTCGGAGCCTGCAGAGGCAAAGTTCAAGTGCCGCCATGGTCTACATAATGATATTTACGTCTAGAATTGGTAAGGGCTACATTTTTAGAGGAACTTGTTGATGACTGAAGCTACTGCCAATATTCTTCCTAGCCTGCATGCAATCTTACTCGATTTCCATCGCTTAAAGTCCGGTCAAACGGAAAAAAAGCTGCGATCTATTAGAAATAGTTCATTTTACAGTAGCAAATACTTTATTCAAAAAGCATTTAAATATTTGATATTTAATAGAAGTAACTTAAATTTTAAAATATTAAAGGCACTAATATTCAGTAAGCATCAGTGTAATACTTTGGCCTTTTTGTTAATCTCTTCGTTTATTACGCGGGCACTTGGGGCCTCGCCATCGCACCTCCGCTGAGCTGCCTTGCCTCCGGGACCATGTCAGTATTCCCCCAGTCCTTCTCCACTTCTTCAATACATTCTTATGTCCGAATGTTAGGCCTTCTTTAGTCTTCAAGGAAGTTTCAGGGTACTCCGACCAGTACTTTTCATATTCAAAAACCTTTAGCATATCCAAGCGAGAAAATTCTTATTACTACGGGAGATCACAGCAATTGGAGGACAACGGCGAGAGTGCTGTCTGGCACGGACGTGGCTTGAATGAAGCCGTCCCCGGTTCTCTTACCGCATGGGGCAGAGCAATGCAGATTTAGGCATTTAAAAAACACAATTTTAGGGCCTAAGGCTTCGAGGCGCACATAAACGTAGTGTTTAGCGATTTGTTAACAATCACAAATATGTCATTATTCTGGTAATTGTTTCACACTAACCGGGTTTTACGAAACAACGCACTATGTGTTCAGGTATGGTGTTCAAATGAGGTCATGTGAGGAGTCGATTTCAACCAAATTAGGCTTGACAGGACTTTGAGCAACCCAGGCTAGATAAGTACCAAACGGTAGTAGTAATGTTTCAATCCAAAGACCCGAAATGTCAGAAAGTGGACAAGATAGTGCCACAAATGTGAAAATTCTGTAAGCTTAGGTTATTATCAAAGCTGGCCGAATAAATTACTTACTGATAAGTGACGATGTTGCAATGATTTGATGTTCTGATTAACCATATTTTATTTTTCCGTATTTATTAGTCTCGTGGCTTGCGCTCTACCCTTCCAACCCCCTTGGGCTTTAAAAATGACACTTCAAGATAAAAACTCGGAGTTCTGCAATGCTGTGTTTTATTTCCAAAAAAAATTGTACATTTGACAGAAGGTAAATATTAAAACAGTTGGATTTGCACCTGTTACGTGAACAATGCAAACTAGGACGCACAGGTTCGTCCGAACAGAATCGGAGCTGCTGCGATATTATTTCACAGGCTCCATGGCTCACGTAAAAGCTGATTAAGATCAATTTGTTTGTAAAATATGAATTTTGCTGTTGGATTGAGAGAATTCATGTAATTTCCAGAAACCATGAATTGCATTAGAGTAGGTGAATTTGGAGAATTATAGCCTTGATTATCCTGACATAGCGGTATTATTTTTGCAAAAAATGACTGTATTATTGGTTCGCCGTTGCAAAAATAGGATTGAGATGCTTTCTCAAACCATGGTTTGGTTTTTCTGAGCAATCAACAATTGTTTTGACGTTCAAATGCAGAACGCGTGCCAATTTGCCTCAAATGAATAAAGCAGAACTTTGCCTTCGTTAGACCTTCTTTGCTAATTTTGGGGATTTTGTTTTGTCAGAATTTCTAACTGACTGATCTGATAAATATTAAGCTCTTCATATTTACCTTTATTCAACGAAAGAAGATTCAGAGCTTAAATACGGTCGTTCCAATGGTAAAGGACCATGGACAATGGCTAAAATGGCAGAGGTAGTGTGACAATAAAGGAATTCTGTCTAGGCGGAAACAACAACAGCGATGTTTTTAGGATATTTTGGTTGGGATCCACATAAGTCTTCAAGCCAAGAGCGCCCGAGTACTGCAAGATGACCTTGAAATAAATAGGCGATCAGTAGTAAATTACGCAAAACGCATTTTTACTTATAAATTTTAAGTAAAACGTCTAATATCCATTTATAAAGGCAACGTGTAGTGTTCCACTATCGCTTTAAAAATTTAGAAATCGTCATTTGCTATTTATCTCCTATAATGCATAATTCCGGTATTCCTGTAGAAAGAAAAAACAGCAACAATCTTAAGGGAAAATATGTACTGCATGGAATTAAAAGCTACTATAGTACAGCGGCAGTACCCTAGGTTTGGGATTGCATTTGTTTGTAGTCAGCGCACTAATCACTTTCATTGGTATTATGGAGACTATAAGAAAAACCGTAAATGCTCAATCATTGGGCTTTGAACTACGGAACTGGCATTGCAACCTTACAGCAACTGAAAAAATGTCAACACTCTTAACTAAACAAAGAAGTAAAAATATTTCGAGCAAAATATGATCCGCTTTACGCCTACTCACCTGATTCTAACCATGTAAATGACGCAGTGACTTTGGTTCTATTACCAAGCTTCCTAATTGCAAAATAAAAAGAGATAGTAAATAATAATATTAAGCATTTATAACTTCATTTTTGCCTTAGTGCTCACAAAAGGTTCAGCTCTTAAAAAATTATGAGAAACGGATCACAAAGGCCACTAATTCCGTCTTTGTGCTAAATAGGGTTTTAGACACCTTTCGGTTTTTGCAAAACAACCACTTCCCAAGTTAAAATTAAAGATATTTATTCATTAGATTTTACTGTGGAACGCCTCTCATTTGTCATGGTCGGCCTAAAAAAGACCCGAATACACAAAAAATATAGACATGGAAGAAGGCGTTGGTTTGGGCAAATTTTAGGAGCCAGTGAGATAAGGATTGCTGAATAAAGATTCCAAATGGAGTGGCACGTCATCTATTTACTCTGAATTGGATATCCAAAGAAATAATTAATTAGTAAAGGTTGTCAAGGTTCTTCACGTAATCACCAGGGGTGATAGAAATCACTCCTCAGATTACTCGTGTTGAGGCCTGCGACAAGGGCTCTCAGAATGCAATAATGGCAGTAATTGAAACGGTTGGCAACTATAGCGCACCTCCAACTTCCATGCGTCAGGCAGGCCCTTTGATCAGCTGACTAGCTCCTACTAGCTCGTGCCTCTTAAGTCAGGCATCAATCATTCTCAAGTTCCAGCGCGTTGCTCCAACTCCGTGTGCCAATAAAGACGCTATCTCACTTAATCTTTAGCGAAATCACCTTAGTCATGGGGCTTCGTTTAATTACAAGTATAATTTGCATTCTGCACAACAAAGTCAAATTACCACTACTTGAGGAAACATTGTCGTGGAGTCGAAGTGACATGGCGACGAAGAATTAATGAAATATTTCGTACAAAAGTAGTAGGACATATAAAAAAACAAGTATTATTTATTGAGAGATCATGAACCGTGTTGACGAATGGGGTTTTACGGAGCCATTCACAGAATGAAAGCATTCCCATTAATTGCATCGCTTTTTATATCCCCCTGAAGCTGGTAAATGTCAAATTGGCCTCTTCTACAATGATAGCTCAATTAAGCACTTTAACACAGCGACCAAGTCCATGCCTGCATTTTGAGACGGGATGCAATTATCTTAATCAACGAGGGCATTCAACCAAATTATCTCTGTGGGAAACCGTTTTAAAGTAGTTTCAAGATTAAATATTAGGAATGGGAATAAATTAAAGTTACAAACCGCGAGGCTGGCGGCGATGACGAGTTTGGCAGTGGGGGTAGCAGTCGCGTGTATGACGGTTCCTCCCTTGCCGATGACCATCTCGTAAAGGGAAGGTAAAAATCGCCACATGTTTGCTTCAAATCATTGTTATACAAACAATTAATACGATAGTGACTAAAAGGAGTGATGGGTTAGGGGTTTCCACCCACCTGAAAGCATCTATTAACTGGAACATATTAGACTAACTTGAATGTATGGAGAAGCTTAAGGGTCTATTTGCCTTTAAAAAAATATATTTGAGCAGGCAAATGGAAAGCATCATTCATGTAATCAGCGTATGAGGGAATTTTTTGGACTGGATTTGCATCAAAACTAAGGAAAAGAGTCAGATAAATATTTTATCGGAAATAGCTAAGCTAAAGTTAAATGAGATCTCAGAAAAGGCGCCGTCATTGCCACTTATCGCATGTTTCGGCAGTTTAAATGAGAGTGCAGCTAAACTTAACTGCTTTGGATAGTTGGAAGTCACTGGTGCAGAATAGGACAAAGTTAGGCTTGGTTTCATGAGCCACTGCTCTCGGAAGTAACGTAGAATAAGGCCACATCCTGCTACGCTGATTGTACATTGCGAAGCGCAGCAGGAACAAAGACATTAGGCTTATGAATATCGTAACTGATATCCACTTGCCAGGATACCACTATGATGTTGTTATTATCAAATGCCAGGTGATTTGCAACGGGAGGCAAGAGGGGAGTGGGCGTGAAATTTGCAAGTAATAGGATGAATGAAGGCATAATGGTCAATCAAAGTTACACAAACGTTCTTGCACAGCTACGCCTTCTGCGATGCCAAATGCTACATACAGGTTTGAGTGTGTGAAAAAAAAGGCCCCAAATTAGCCGAGTTGTAATTTATGCAGAAACAGGACTTAAGGAAATGACTCCAGCGTGATTCCGCAGAAGTGATTGAAGACAATTTTCTCAAAGGCTTTGCATACTGACAGATATATGGTCAAGCAAAATCAATTGTTATCTGTGAAAGAAGTGAAGCTCAACTAACGCCTATTAAACAATGGACGCTAAAACTGCACATTTGCAAAAGGAAGCAAAACGAACTTAAAAGCCATATCTTTCGAAATGCCGTAATACAGCCTTCCAAAAAGTAGGCATTAACTATACGGTTCCTTTAAAGAGAGTGCCACTTTCATTTTCTGATCCTACAGTTAATCTATCTTCCTATAAATGCAGAAGTAAGAGTTAAAGACACACGTTTGTAAAAGGACGGTACGGCTAGCTCTTGGAGAATATCAGGGATTTTAAAACCTTATTTAAATTGAACTTACCTCTGCCCCTTGTATACGTCCACTTCTGTTCATTGAGGCGTCTGCCTTCACAAGTGCCCAGCCACGTCAATGCAATGATGAAAAGAAGCAAAAGAATGATCTTGTTCATTACAATCACTTCTATAAAAGATCAGAGGCTGAAGCCTGTCTGCTGGAGCCCAATCGTCTGAATCATTATATACCAATGAAAGGCGCAGTCACGTAATTACCATTCGAGTGTGATTGGCTTATGGGCGTGCCAATCGAGGCTGATGCGTGTCGTGGCTCCACGGAGCCCCCACTTCATTTCAGATTCTAATCGAGCTTGAGATAATAGGTTCACTTCAGTCTCCTTCATCTACCGCCCTAGATCTTGGTTTGGCGAATAAAAGTAGTACTTTTCTAGTCAAGGTAAGGCTATTCTTTTGGGAAAAGCTTAAAGACTGTGCACCTGATTTGGGAAGATAGCACTATGAAAAAGTAGTAATTATTGTTAACTTTACGGATTTTAAAATGAAATATTCCGTCTTTACAGTTCAGTGACTAATCATCTTGACGTCAATAGCAGGTATTCCATGTCATCACACTCTAGGCGTCTCTGGGACTGACTGATGAGGATTTTGAGTCATCGCATCACACGAGATACATGGCTTACAATGACTGAACCTGGATTAATATGCCGAATTTTTATTTAACTGTACTTACCTGTCTTTACAACACATTCTTTGAAGTTTACTAAAAAACTATCCCATCTCCGAAAATGGCATCCGAATTGATTCAAAACATTATTTTGCGATTAGTTTTGCTAAGTATCCGCCATTCTTTCGGTGTTGAAACACTGCCTCTGAACACTTGTAAGTAGTCAAAGCCAATTCTGTAATAAGTAGTAAATAAGTTCTTCGCTACGTTGCCACCAAAGTTATGGGTAAAGCTATTATTCTTTTGTTCTTTGGTAGTCTTTTGACAGTTCATAGTTTTTGGTGAGACGTTAGGGTGGTCAATTAAAAGCAAACATTACACTGACTCATAAATTCCACTACGAGGCACGATTCAAAGTTTCCGGGTAAATTGCTTATAGAAAAAAAAAGCATTTTTGTCATTTAGACCGACGCCAAATGCGCAAATAGCTCAATATCCATCCATATCAAGTCTAAGAGGTGCTCTTCACGGGAGTAGCTGCATCACAATGGTAGATAGATTAAAACCAGCTATTTTATTTACCTGTTCAACAGGAATGTCTTTACAATTGATGAGGATTATGACGAGAGATATGTCGCTTGCGAGTTTCTAACCTCGAGTTTACAATTCGTACAACCACGCCAGAGAAGCACATTACTGCAGGAATATACGCTTCCTTCTAAGAAAATACCTGAGACTCTTTCTAGGGTCCTTGATAATGGAAGCTGTATTGTATCTAAATGACAATGAAATAGGGCAAAGCCTCTCTTAAGCTGTTGTAATGGAAGCGTTTAAGTGCCACAGTTGTGAATGCTTGCCCCGTGGCTTATGGTAATTGCAGTTTAATTCATTCAGAGCAGAAATGAAAGCATTTGTACAACGAATCCATTGACGAAGAAAATTGTTACCTATGATCAAAATTCACAAACGTTTTGCTTTAAGATCTACCTAGATAATTCTTTTTCAAGCCAATGCAATGTTGGGATATCTAATTAAAAGAAAATAGTTATGTGGTAATTCTGGGCATTTTTACTCCGTAAACAACCAGACTAAATGGTGTAAGGCTTCCGTACTTCCACTGGGCGCCATGATCTCCGAACTATGCCAGCATTCCTCAGCCCTTCTGTACTTCGGGAATACACATTCTGCCCTGATATTATGTTGAATGAGTCTCCATTAAGCCAGGTGGGTCAAAATACCCACTGACTCTTCAGAGACAGTGAGAAAATAATAGGTAAAGCAATCTCCACCATATTGTAAATATGGACCCCACAGGAGTACATTCGGGTCCCGCCTTATAGGACATGTTTACTCCCAGTATTTAACAGATTAAGAAACTGCCCAGATGATCTTCTCCTCCTCACAGGCCTAGATTCCGATCGCGAGGCGCTTGATGTCACAAGGCCTTTGAAAGTCAGCAATAATGTGGTATGAGTGGTGTAAGCCAGCCTCCGTATAAGTTAAAAAGCCGCACTCTGTCGTCCTGCATCGTCTAATAAGACTTAATGTGCCGCAGACACTGGCACGCTAGAATACACATTTTAAATTCTTACAATGCCTTTAAATTAATCTTAGTTTTTCTCCATTTAAAGCAATGAATTCATCGTGAACATTTGATTACTTGCCTACAAGATGTCACACAGGCAATTTTGGGACCACTTGGCATGTGAACTCAATCAAAACTTTTGCAGATGTCATAGTGTGAGTAAAATTAATCTTGAGTGAGAATATCTTAAAAATCCTTAAAAGCTTATTCTTCTTCTCCATGAACTGATAAACCGCTCAAGGAATTCGCAGCACTGGAAAAATGCATTTCTTCCCACGCAATCCCTATGGCTTCAAGCGTGTCACCTATGTAAAATAAGGCTTTGTTATTTCATTTGGCAAACTGCACTGCATGATGCCAAAGACTGAAATGTTGCGAGCCTAAAAACTTACGGAACATGAACACCCCAATGGTAAATCCGTTTTGATTGCTCATGCTTACTCTATCGCCTGGAGTAGTCTAAGCATGAATTGTGTGAGAACTTTGCGTTTTAAACAGGAAAAATATTATTCGCAAAGACAGCATATTTATAAAGTTTTCAGTTAAACAAAACTGCTCGACTTTGAAAGCTGTTCTAGCATAAGAGGGCTTATTGATGATTTTCTTTTTTCAAAAGCGCTCAGAATTGACTGCTCCTATTGCACAGAAGGTATTGCTTTGCATAATTCCCAAAGAAAAGTCATCATTTTTCGGTATTGCTGCTTATCTCAAAAAACTCTTTCAAGCATGTTTATGCATAAGCATCATTGCTCATTTTTTACAGAATACAATGGACTTCCTAAATCTGGTCGCATAAGATGGGCTTACTATAACATCCAGTTAGTTTGAAATTAGGTTTTGGTTTCGCGAGCACTTGAAGCCCCACCCTTGTGCTTCCCGTAAAGGGTATGGCCTTCGGGTCATGCTGATAGCCCTCCCTCAGTCCTCCTGCACATCTTGCCCCCGAATTACGTCTTCATTCGACTTTAGGGAAGACTCGAGGTGCTGGAATGCTTATCTGTTTACTTGTAATACAACAGCGGTTCATCCTTCGGTTCTGCTGAGGCGCCACTTTTGTACTTTGAATTAGACCCCTTGTACCTCGCTGGGTGGGTTGGCCTTTTGGGCCATGCCAATAGCCCAGACACCTTCTCCGTGCTGAATATATATATTTT